TTTAAGTTTCAAGCAAATACCTTTTCTAGTTTCAGAAATATTCAAATACATATTAAAATTTTAAGAATATTTTCTAAGTCAATTTTTGACCTTCAAGTGTGACCTTGACCTTAAGCCGGCAAAAGGGTAACATGGGTTCTGCACATTACCTTTGTTGAGGTGAACATTTAAGCCAAGATTTGAAGAAAAATCTTTCAATTAGTGTAGGACTTACAGAGCGGACACGACATACTGTCTAATATTTGATTGTTTGATATTTGACCTTCAATTGTGACCTTGAGCTGACACATGGGCAACATGGGTTCTGCACATCCCCTTGGTGAGGTGAACATTTGAGCCAAGTTTGATGAAAATCCTTGAATTGGTATAGGATTTATAGAGCGGACACAATAATGGAGAGGGAGGGACGGACCCACACGACAAAGCGAATCCATTATAGCCCCCTCTCCCACATTTTGTGGTGGGGGAATAATAACAGTTTTATATTTCACTTATATATATTTCTATAAACCACTGAAAAGCATGTAATAAAAAAATATTATTTGTACATTTATTATGAATCACTGAAGAAGTTTTACCTATCCTATATGGTGACAGACGGTAACTCAATTATCCTTTCAAGAGAGAAACACTCTATCATATTATACACACATGTACAAATTTGTATAATGTTTTATAACAACTTTAAATGATCACCTTAACTGTTTTATAGACAGTCTTATACTGGCCGTAATTTCAAAGAAATCAAATACAAAATAGTAATATGGAATAGCCAACTGGTAAAAATATAGAAAGTTAGACGGGTGTTTGTAGTTTACCTTCTCGATCACAGCAGAGACCCACTTTATTTTAATTTTTTAATTTACCAGAGCACAGTTTAGTCACCATATCCTTAACAAGCTGCCAAATAGTTTACAAGTACTATGTACTAGATGCCTTCACTTCTTAAGGTAATGCTAGCTACTAATGTACATGTTGGAGCAAAGGTACAGTACAATGGCTGTAGAAAAGACTTCATCATCAATCACAAAAAAATCAGTGATATTTGGTATATATTTTACAGCCTTTTACAGGCTGTTTCTTGTAGCCAATCTTGCTATATTTTAGCCTAAATTAATCAAAATTTGATTAAAATTATGGATTTGGTACATTCTAAGTTGTTTGTTAGAATGTCACAGGTTGTTTTGATAATTCTTAATGTACTGTCCGGGAATCAAACTTGGGTCACTTAATTCAAAGTCCAACGCTCTACCAATTGAGCTTCTTTTTTTTTATGCGTTTATTTAAGGGTCGCCGGGGGTTGGAAAGCCACCAATAATGGCGACGAAACCCCCTTTAAAGTCAGGCCAAACCTAGAGCGTCCCCGGGCGGCCAAGAATTTTTCCCGAAAACCCCCCAAATTTTTTAAAGGCCTGATGGTGAAAAAAAAAAAAGGAAGACCCCAGGTGCCCCTCCGGGCATTTTTTCAGGCACGAGCGGGCCACTGGGTAGAACCACCGACCTTCCGTAAGCCAGCTGGTTGGCTTCCTCACAATTGAGCTTTAGTCCAATTTGTCTTTTATACTTACTGAAACGCTTTGATTATCTGCATTTTTCTTGTCAGTCATGATTGTTGTAACAGTGTATGTCTCTTGTAGTAACGCGTCTACGTTGATCTCCGCAACATCCTTCACCTTGATCTGGGAACGAGGCTCAAAGATTTTGTTCAGGTGTGACGGCAAATTGGTATAAATCTGGTTCACAAACTTCAGAAAATCTTGAATCTGTCGAAAAATACAAAACATATTCTGATCATTTTTGTTCTCTTAGCTATTTGTAATATATTCACAAGAGATTTAACAAGTCAATTTAACATAGGGCACATGAATATTAATTTAACCTGACAAGATATTTCTTCATATGAAACTAGGACAGACTGTTTCCAAGAAGCTGGCACCAGAGTGTTACAAACGACCTTAAAGCTAAATTAGCTAAAAATAGATTTGTTTAAAACTAAATAGGTCAACCTAACATCACAGTAATAATGCATATTTACAATCATATCAAAATGAAACACATACCTCCTCGTTCATCTGAGGTCTGTATTGTTTATGTAGCTCTATGATTATCTTCAGACATACCAGTACATTCTCCTCATTCTCCACCTGTATACAGAAAACCAGAAAATCGTATACGGTCAAATTATGCCTATACGGTCAAATTCATGCCTATACGGTCAAATTCATGTGTATACAGTCAAATTTATGCATATATGGTCTAATTTATGCCTATATGGTCAAATTCATGTTATACAGTCAAATGTATTCTTATCTACTATCAAATTTATGCATATATGGTCTAATTTATGCCTATATGGACAAATTTATGCTTATACATTCAAATTTATGCCTTTACGGTCAAATTCATGCTTATACGTTTAAATTTATGCCTATATGGTCATATTTATGTCTATTCGGTCAAACTTTTGCTTATACGGTCAAATTTATGCCTATATCGTCATATTTGTGCCTATACAGTCAAATTTATGCCTATATGGTCAAATTTATGTCTTTACAGTTTTATGCCTATTCTGTCAAATTTGTGCCTATATGGTCATATTTATATGGTCATATTTATGCATATAGGTCAAATTTATGCCTATAGGGTCATATTTATGTCCATACCGTCAAATTTATACTTAAACGCTCAAATTTATGCCTTTACGGTCAAATTTATGCCTATATGGTCAAATTTATGCTTACACAGTCAAATTTATACATATACAGTCAAAATTAAGCCTATACAGTCAAATTGCTGCTTATACTGACAAATTTATGATTGCGGTCACTTCTGTATAGCCGACACCTGTAAATAACAGTAATGTTCAAACTGTCCTGCAGACAATTTCATTAAGTGTTTTTTGGTGTTTTTTTTAAGTTTTAACACCAACACTGTAATGGTCATATGGTGACTTTCAAGCTTTACTGGCGGAGAAAGACCTCAGTGCATTATTTTAGGCTTGGACAGGCACCCCTGAACAACCACAGATGCTCTGTAAGCTAGCTGGAAAGCTTCATCTCATCAAAGAGTGGAGTGGTTTTTTGAAGTTAGAAAGGTAGGAGCCACAAATCAATATGGCTAAAATCATAAAGTTAGAAATGGTAGCCTTCAACCACTTTCAAGAACAGTTCATAACAGTTTTTTAATTACCTAATAACAAACCAGTTTGTCTTACCTTGATCAGTTTAAACATCAAGGACAGAATTTGCTGTACATATTTCTTTAGATGTTCGTTACTAGGGATACGGTGAATGATTTCCAACAGCAGCTTACGTAGTTGCTGAAAAAAAGCATTGATATTGATAAATTCTATTCTGCAAAACAAGAAGCGCCGCAATGCGACGAAAACCAGGTTTTCAACGACCAAGTTTTGATGTGACAGCAATCAATAGGTCAAAGTGCACTGAAGTTATTGAGTAGAAGCTGAAAATTCTATTGTCAGCAAACTACCTTGACCTTGCTCCCAGATATCTTAGTGGCAATCCAAAGCTGCCACTCAGCAAGTTTGGTGTCAAAAGGTCAAAGCAAACTCAAGTTATAACATGAAAACTAAATACAAATTAACCTTGATCACAGACACCTGGGTAGCAATCCCAAGCTGCCTCTTGATATAAGCTACCCATTCATCAAGTTTGGTGTCAATAGGCCAAAGCAAACTTAACTTATTGAGCAGAAACTGAATTTCTATTTTTAGTAAGTGACCTTGACCTTGATCACAGACACCTGGGTAGCAATCCCAGGCTGCCTCTTGATATAAGCTATCCATACACCAAGTTTGGTGTCAATAGGCCAAAGCAAACTCAAGTTATTGAGCAGAAACTGAATTTCTATTTTTAGTAACAGTGACCTTGACCTAAATCGCAGAAACCTGGGTAGCAATCCCAAGCTGCCTCTTGATATAACCTATCCATACACCAAGTTTGGTGTCAATAGGCCAAAGCAAACTCAAGTTATTGAGTGGAAACTGAATTTCTATTTTTAGTTACAGTGACCTTGACCTTGATCACCAATCCCAAGCTGCCTCTTGATATAACCTATCCATACACCAAGTTTGGTGTCAATAGGCCAAAGCAAACTCAAGTTATTGAGCAGAAACTGAATATGAGACGTGTCACAACAAAACCAACATAATGGGTTTGCAACCAACATGGATCCAGACCAGCCTGTGCATCTGCGCAGTCTGATCAGGATCCATGCTGTTCACTATCAGTTTCTCTACTTGTAATAGGGTTTGTAAGCAAACAGCATGGATCCTGATCAGACTGCGCGGATGCGCAGGCTGGTCTTGATCCATGCTGGTCGCAAACCCATTATGTTGGTTTTGTCATGACGCGGCTCATATATATTTTTAGTAACAGTGACTTTAACCTTGATCACAGACACCGGGGTAGCAATCCCAAGCTAGGCCAAAGCAAACTCAAGTTATTGAGTGGAAACTGAATTTCTATTTTTAGTAACAGTGACCTTGACCTTGATCACCAATCCCAAGCTGCCTCTTGATATAACCTATCCATACACCAAGTTTGGTGTCAATAAGCCAAAGCAAACTCAAGTTATTGAGCGGAAACTGAATTTCTATTTTTAGTAACAGTGACCTTGACCTTGATCACAGACACCTGGGTAGCAATCCCAAGCAGATATAAACTGCCTACCCGCCGACTTCGGAATTACAATAACCCAGTTTTCGTTGAAAACCTGGTTAACAAGAGCTGTCAGAAGGACAGCGCGCTCGACTTTTTTAGTGCTTGCCTATAAAACAAAACTTTGACAGTTAAGGGCACACAAGACTTTAACTAGGAATTTCTAAGTACAAATCAAGAAACATTTTCACAGAGTTATCTTCTCTTGCTTACAGATAGGTCTCATGATGGCACATAAGAACTCCAACTTCCAAAGTAATATCTCAAATGGTTAGGTCAACAAGTGGACAAGAATGAAAATTTTAACTGAGTTTCTAAGTCAAAAAGGGCCATAATTCAAATAAAATCCTTAACAGAATTACCTTCTCCTGCCCATGTTTGGGACCATGATGGTAAACAAGTATTCCAACTTTCAATTTAATATCTCAACCAGTTCAGTCAAAAAGTTGACTGGTACAAAAAACTTAACCAAGATTCTAAGTCGATAAAAGGCCTTAATTTTTAAAACAAATCCCTGACAGAGTTACCTTCTCTTGCGTACAGATGGGGGTAATGATGTGAAATAGCATTAAAAGTTTCAAAGCAATATCTCAAAGGGTTAAGGCAATAAGTGGATTTTACCCATATTCAATGTATTTTCTAAGTCAAAAAGGGGCATAATTCTGTCAAAAACCTAGACAGAGTTATGTCCTCTTGTCTGTTGATGAAGGTCGTGATGGTAAACAAGTATGGTCAGTTTCAAAGCAATACCTCCAATGGTTTTGAAATAAAGTGAGGTGGTACAAAAAACTTAACCAAGCTCAATACACTTTCTAAGTCAAAAAAGGGCCATAATTCTGTCAAAAACCTTGACAGAGTTATGTACTCTTGTCTGTAGATGGAGGTTATGATGGTGAACAAGTATGGTAAGTTTCAAAGCCATACTTGTAATACTTCTGAAATAAAGTGGGGTGGTACGAAAAACTTAACCAAGGTGTGACGCCAACGCCGACGCCAACGCCGACGCCGGGGCGAGTAGGATAGCTCCCCTTTTCATAGAAAAGTCGAGCTAAAAAGTACAACAAGCTTACTTGCAACTAAACTATCTTCAGAATGTCACTAGTCTGGAGGTCTCTCTTCAAATTCAAAATATCCAAGTCATGTCATCATATTTTATGTTATTTTGGTTTCTTATCCACATACATCACTCCAAAACCAAAATGATAATTTTATTATCCTTCCCATACTGAGTAAGACAATTTTAAAATAAATAATTGTTGTTTCAAATGACCAAATGACACATCAAAATAAGAATCCTTTTATGGTACCCCTTCACCGCAAAATGACGTCACCAGAGTGCATGTTGTTTACAATGTGGGGTACCCAAAGGGATATTTGATGTGTATATTAGCCGACTCGCTCGGTAATATCAATTTCTTTCGGCGGATCAATATCCAATCAAAAAGTAAAATAAATGTTACACTGAGTGGGGATTAGGAGTTGCACCAACACTTCAAATCATATGGCATCTTTGCAGCTTTGGCTGCTTAAGGAAGATGGTAGGTGCCTCTCTGTGCCTAATTTCAGGTGAGCGAGTAGCCTACCACTGACCTTCCATGACCTATCTGGAAAGCTTGCCAAGATGATTTGTTTGTTTTGGGTTTTACGTCACATCGACACAGTATAGGTCATATCGCGACGTTCCAGCTTTACTGGTGGAGGAAGACCTCAGGTGCCCGTCCGTGAATTATTTCAGGCACGAACGGGCACCTGAGTAGAACCATCGATGTTCTTTAAGCTAGTTTGATAGCTTCCTCACATGAAAGAATCCAAAGTCCCTGTTGGGATTCGAACCCACAGCGGTGAGGGGCAAGTGGTTTGAAGTCAACGATCTTAACCACTCGGCCACAGACGCCCCTTGCCGAGATGAAAGAAATCACCAGTATCACAGGTGGTATTCAAACCCACTGTGGGGAGGGGCAAGAGATTAAATTCAGTGACGGTAAACTACTGTACAAGTTGATATTTTTGCATATCAAAGAGTTAGGTATTTAAAATTTCAGACATTTCGCGTGAGGAAATATTAGCAATCATGGGAGATTTGAAGTTAATGACAGGTTGGTTGATATTTATGCTAGAGGAAATTTTAGCGATTTTCGTCAGTCCATGAAATTTGCCAATATTTCTGTGTCACCAACTTTACCACTTTCATAATGCACCCTAAGTTGGTCAAGAACCTTATAAATTTTATTTTGTGACATGCAGTCAGATCCTATCAGCTAATTTTATTACATTCATGTTGTCTCTACTCAAGAGGAAATTCCTCGAGGAGCCAATCATGCTTGATGTCTCATCACTCTGCATATCTCGTATCATTTTCAGTCTCGTTAAGCAATTATAGAAAATCAAATATCAAATTCCACTTTGAAGGGCACACAGCTATATGGGGCCGTCTGTAAACAATAGAATACTTATTTTTATCGTAATGGATATCATAGAGAAGTAACAAAATTAAAAGAGACATTTGCAAAAATTACGATAAACTTGGAGGTGTATGCTTCCGGTACAGTCTTGAATTTCTAGATTGTAGTACAGTCTAGAATTTCTAGATCGTAGTATAGTCTGGAATTTCTAGAACGTAGTACAGTCTAGAATTTCTAGCTCAAAAGTAAGTTTATGCCTTTAAGAGGTTCATCAAAAATTCCCGCTAAACAGTTAGCCCAGAACTTGATAACTGATAATCCAGTCTATGACATCAGCCAGTGTATGCCGTCATCCACGCACTTGACTTATATAGGGGTGATAAATGAGTTTTCTCTAACACCAGTGTAAACAGCAGAAAATCTTATCTGATATAAAGAACTTTTTTATCTGAAACATATTTCACTTGATTCAGCTTAAATCCTTTCAATAACTTAAACCATAACCTGCTTTGGAAGCCCAAGGTGACCACCCTTTGCCACAAGTATAGAACCTGGCCAGCCATTACACAAATGCTGACCAGGCTCGAAACAGTCCGTAGTTCATATTTTTGTATTTCGATTCTGAAATCCCTTAAAACTGTTAATGGACTCTTCGAAATTAAAGGCAGAGCAAATATGTTACATAAATTTAGCAGGTTAAGGGTTAACAAGAAATATGTCTGTAATGACACAGATTCCCTAACATTCAACTAACATTTTGTTAGTCTACGTTTACAATACATAACAGCGTGACAAGGGCAAACCTATAAACGCCCCAACTCTAAGTGGAGCATACCAAAGGTTCAAGAAAATGTCAGCCAAAGGGTTGCCTCACCTGTAGATTCTGGTCAGCAATAAACTGCGGTTCCCCATCCTCTAAAATCTTCATAAACACTCGGACAGCATCGGCCAGGAACTGCGGGTACTGTGGTGATGACACAACAGTCTATAAATAAAAATATTTCGATGAAAATATCTAACTATTAATGATATGTTCCTATTTTTTATGTCAGTCTAGTGTTTAGTCCTAAACATACATCAGGTCACATAGCAACCATGGAATGCTACTGGTGACTAACAAGTCACATACACAATCAACATTTATTTTTTTGAAACAAACTTGCATGAGAGTATGATCCAGCTATCTCCCATAAGCTTGAAATGAAGACTGATAAATCCTGTTCCTCTCAAAGTGGCAGACCAACTTTAATTATGGTGCCACCTGTATAATTCCAAACCATTATTCACTACTATACAGCCTGTATCTACAGTATACTTTTTGTTTAAAGCTGCATGCCTCCAGAGGAGCAAGCATATTTCAAGAAAATAAAACTTGAGAAATATGTATTGAGGTTTTATGAAAAGTAAAAAGACTGAGGATAAAAGTAGTAACTTCCATGTTATTTACAATAAATTGCTGATTATTTCAATAATTTTTTACCATATTTCTACTGCGTTACTAATGCAGTAAAGGCTAATTTTGCATATTTTGACCTCTTTTTGTAATTAACATGGATTGTAAGTGCCATTTGCAATGTGCATATTATTTTCTTTGTCAGCTTCACAAAAATTTACTTTTTAATAAGTTTTCAAATTTTCATGAAAATTAGCGGGAGTCTGGAGCCATGCTGCTTTAAAATGCATCTATACTGATAGGTTATACAGAATTCTTTTTAGTTTCCACTGTGTATGAAGCTATGAGCTTAAAGACACACTTTTGAATCTGTGCCTGGAACCAACCAGTACAAGGCTATCAGTTTTAAGTTTCTTGCTCAAGAAAACAACGGCTTGCCCATTAAGTAAATAAGTTTGGGCATGATTGTACATTTTTATATATCTTTGACTTTCTTAAATATATTAGGATTGCTCACAGGCATTTTTTTCCTTCTACAACAGTGGCAGATGTTTGGCCTCTTTACAATACAAAATTGCCCATTTTTTCTAAACAAGAGGGCCATGATGGCCCTAGATCGCTCACCTGACTTATCAAACTCATCCAAACAATTACCTAGACAAGCATTCTGACCAAGTCTCATGACAGGTGAGTCAAAAATGTGACCACTAGTGTTAACAAGGATTATCCATATTTGAGCAGTGCGACCTAGTTTTTTACCCAGGTGACACATATTCAAACTTGACCTAGAAATCATCAAAACAAACTTTCAGACCAATTTCCAGGATACTTGGATCAAAATAGTAGCAACTAGAGTGTTAACAAGATTTTTCTATTTTTAGCTCCGGTGACCTAGTTTCACATGCGATTTCGAACTCATCCAAGCAATTACCTACTTCTTGATCAAGTTTGATGATGATTGATGCAAAAATGTGACCGCTAGAGTGTTAACAAGGTTTTTCTATTTTTAGCTCCGGTGACCTACTTTTTCATCCGAGATGACCCATGTTCAAACTCATCCGAGCTATCACCTAGACAAACATCTTGACAAAGTTTGATGATGACTGATGCAAAAATGTGACCGCTAGAGTGTTAACAAGGTTTTTCTATTTTTAGCTCCGGTGACCTAGTTTCACATGCGATTTCGAACTCATCCAAGCAATTACCTAGACAAGCATCCTCACTAAGTTTGATGATAATTGAGTTGAAAATGTGACCACTAGAATGTTAACAAGGTTTTTCCATATTTGGGCGGTGTGACCTAGTTTTTCATCCAAGATGACCCATGTTCGATCTTGACTTAGAAATCATCAAAACAAACTTTCAGACCAATTAACAGAATATTTGGATCACAACAGTAGCCACTAGAGTATTAACAAGATTGTTCTATTTTTAGCTCCTGTGACCTTGTTTTTCATCTGAGATGTCCCATGTTCGATTTATTCCCAGCAATGACCTAGACAAGTTTCCTGACCAAGTTTGATGACAATTGAGTCAAATTCTGACCACTAGAGTGTTCACAAGGTTTTTCTATTTTTAGCTCCTGTGATCTAGTTTTTCATCTGAGATGACCGATGTTCGAACTCATCCGAGCTATCACCTAGACAACCATCTTGATCAAGTTTGATGATGATTGATGCAAAAATGTGACCGCTAGAGTGTTAACAAGGTTTTTCTATTTTTAGCTCCGGTGACCTACTTTTTCATCCGAGATGACCCATGTTCAAACTCATCCAAGCTATCACCTAGACAAACATCCTGACCAAGTTTGATGATGATGCAGGCAAAATTGTAACCTCTAGAGTGTTAACATGGTTTTTCTATTTTTAGCTCCGGTGACCTAGTTTTTCATCCGAGATGACCCATATTCGAACTCATCTGAGCTAATATCTAAACAAGCACCCTGACAAAGTTTGATGATGATTGGGTAAAAAATGTGATCACTAGAGTGTTCACAAGGTTTTTCTATTTTTAGCTCGTGTGACCTAGTTTTTCATCAGAGATGACCCATGTTCGAACTCATCCAAGCAATTGACTAGACAAGCATTCTGACAAAGTTTGATGATGATTGGTTCAAAAATGTGACCACTAGAGTGTTCACAAGGTTTTTCTATTTATAGCTCCTGTGACCTACTTTTTCATCCGAGATGACCCATGTTCGAACTCATCCGAGCTATCACCTAGACAAACATCCTGACCAAGTTTGATGATGATTGGGTCAAAAATGTGACCTCTAGAGTGTTCGCAAGGTTTTTCTATTTTTAGCTCTTGTGACCTAGTTTTTCATCCGAGATGAGCCATGTTCGAACTCATCCGAGCTTTCAACTAGATAAGCATCCTGACCAAGTTTGATGATGATTGAGGCAAAATTGCGACCGCTAGAGTGTTCACAAGCAATTGTGGACGTACGACGGACGACGTACGACGGACATTCACCGATCCTAAAAGCTCACCCTGAGCAAGCTAAGGGTGAGCTAAAAAAACAGCGGCAGAAAAAAATTCACATTTTCAAAAGAGATTTCACAAAATATCTGGACTTTCTTTTTGAATTTGTGAATTTGATAACAGATGATTACATGTACCTCAAAATTTTCACTGAGCTCCTGGGCTGCTTTAAGCTTCTTCTCAGCGACTGAAAAACAAAAATACAATAATAGTATTCACAAAATATAGTTTCTTCTGATTAAAACACAGTCAAAATCAATGAAATAATTTGAATGGGCAGTTTCCAGTTTTCTTATATTCAATAATTTTATATCTACCATAATCAAAACATACGTCCTAATAATATATTATATAACACCATCTGTTCACATTCATCATTGTAAAACTGAAAAAAAATATAACTCAATCAATAAACAAGCAATTCAGTATTCATGGCTTGATTTTTGTTCAGAAATTGAGAAAATCTTTTTCATTACTTTTCAAGTCTACTGCAGGGTTCCATTAATGGAAGTTTGGGAGTCATTTACTCCTTGATTTTGGCGATAGACTTCCAAAATATAATGCTTTTCCTTCTTTACCTATGTAATGCTGCTTCCAATATCAGACAATTTGCAGGCTCTGACTTCCAAATTCTGAAACCTAATGGAAGCCCTGCAGTACTGAAATGCAGTCAGATCTTATCAGCTAATTTTATTACATTCATGTTGTCTCTACTCAAGAGGAAATTCCTCGAGGAGCCAATCATGCTTTGTGTCTCATCACTCTGCATTCTATATATCAGTTATATCAGTTTCAGCCATTTTAAGAAATAACAAGACCTGTTCGCTGTCAGTGCGCTCCTGTTTTCTCAGTGCTGGATAGTAAAATAAAAGCAACATAGAAAAGTGGCAAACAAAGTAGCATTTTGACATCCATATGAAATACTCAATCACTACGATTTTACCCATTGCTAACAGAGCAAAAGAAGAAAAAGATAATTCATGTGTATAGCAAGCGAGTATTTTGTTGTTGCTTTTTTTGGAACTGTCACAAGATACTAAAAAATTTAGAAGTTTTTGAGAATTAAAAATGATGAATTTTACATTTCTATTGCAACACCACTCAGCAACAAATAAAATTTGTGTCTTCAAAAAGAAATGGCTCTGCAGAGGCAACCTCCTACGCAGTGATCTCCCCTTATCAGTACAGAGATCTCTCCCACCAGGGCCACCACACACAATTTTAACAATATTTTGTTATTTTATATTTTTTCAAAATTTTTATTAATTTTCATGTAAAAACAAAGTAATCAATAGAGATAAAATGATTCCTTTTTCAAAACTAATGACTTCCTAGCTCAGTATCATTAAATATGTTTGTTTACTTCCTGTTTTTAAAGCCCCAGTCACATATTCACGGATATGCCACGGAAGACCTATGGTCTAATCGTTCACGGATTACAACGGAAATGTAAAATTCCGTAGTCCACTACGATTCCAGTACGGACACACAATGGTATGAGTAGGGAGTCCGACGGATTTACCACCAAAAGCCCCCAGAGAGAAACGGAATGTTACGGACCGACACGGTTTGATACGCAGCGACAAGAATCAGGACGGACGCACTACACTACGGTCTGCTACGGTATAAGCACGGGTTAGTACGAATAAGTACGGTCTGATACGGAGAAAAACGAACTGCCACGGATCTATACGGACCTAATACATCCGTCCACAACCTCTTGCTTGCTCATTTTCAAAATGTCTCACAAGAAAAGAACACCTAGAAAACAAATTGCAGAGTTCAATGATTTTGGCGAAGAGGATTCGGCCTAATCGCGTCCGACCCCCGAGACACATCAGATCCGGTTAAAGTGAATTTCTTGAAGGATCCTCAACAAGTTCGGCCATGAGAGCCTCCGACTAAACATGAAGGGGTCTTGGTAAAAGCCAATCTCTAGTCCACCATCACGTTTGTCTTCTCTTACCTGATTAGGTATAGACTAGTTATCATTAATGAAAAATGTTGATCAATACTCCTTCTTTTTTAGTTTTAAGATTTGCTGTTCATTTTACAATTACATTAATTATCGTGAATGTTTATGTTTTCAGAATATGTAAAAAGCTTGTTAATTAATCTTATTATCACTCAAGGGCCAGCTTCCGAGGCTTATGAGCACTTCGTTTTCAGTACATATTTAATCCAATTTCATGATCCAATGTTTGTAAAATATGTAACATTAAATGTTATTCTATTACTTATGAATTGTAGTACGATATTAATATAAATTTACTTCTATGCATGTCATCAAGCAGCTCGACCACTACCTCCACATTCTAAAGTTGCAGCCAGTAAATGGCAATTATCATTAAATTTTATTGAATGTTCCCTCAAATATGTCTGTTTTTAACAAGAAGGTAGTATTTATACCCTTGAAAAAGTACATGATACTTAATTCATCCATACTAAACAGTGGTGGACCATACCATTCCGTACCGTTTCGTGTTGCAACGCAATAAACCGTATAAGACCGTGCTAATCCTTGCCTCTCCCTAGTACAATTTATTTAATTTTACCCATGAAATATGGTGCTATATCAGTCAAATATATTTCATATTTTTTGAAAATAAATATGAAATATAAATATGAAAGTGGGCGGAGTCAAAACTCATATTTATTATAAGGGACTTCTTTCGCCGTTTTGTTTAAAAAATCTGATAAATACAAAACAACTTTTTCTTGAATTTTGTTTTGAAAACTACTATCTAGCATGATAGAAAATGGGCTAACTAAGAAAATTAATCCGAACACCAATATCACCGTGGATGAACAAGTTTTGTCACGTGACCACAAATGCAAACGTCGATTTGTGATTTTGGCATACACGGACCCGATTTCAGGTAATCATTTGCAGATATCTTTTTTTCCACTGCGAACATAAAAATAAGACATAGACCGTAGGACCCGGCGTAAATTAAGCTTTTATTTTATGTGAGTAGTCATTACTAGACTTAAGTAGTTTTTTAGAACACTTCGACACAAATTTTCTTTTTGCAAGGCAAACGCCGATAGCTTTTATCTTTTCTAATCTTTTTTGTTCACTGAAAACCCATGTAGAGGGAAAATAATAGAAGATATATCTTTTTACAAGAAATTCTCGTCCCTAACTTATTAATAATTCCATTGGCATGGTTATATTCGATATAAACACATGTTTTTTCACTTAGTGTCGATTTTGCAAACGTCGTTTGATCATGAGAAATATGCAAACGTCGGTTGGTCATTTGAAATATATACAATAATAAAGTGAACAGACTGTATAATAGAAGGTGTGTTAAAGAATGAATGTTGATAGTATTTCGTATCAGACAATGCAGATTCTAGGACATTTGCCCCGGACAGTTGCCCTCCGGATGTTTGCCCCCTCTTTTCCCTTGTGATTTGTCACTTGTCATCTCGTGCATAGATTTTTTAGTATTATTTGTTTATGGATGCTATTTTGACTTTCACAAATTTGCGCGAGTTTTTGTGTATTTAAGCACCATGAAATTTCCACAATAGGCGATGAATTATGGTAGCAAACAATTCAACAATAAAATATATTTTTGAACAGGGAGGGGGGGGGGCAAATGTCCGCCCCTTCCAAAGATAAGAGGGGGCAAATGACCGCCACTGCAAAAAGGGGGCACACTTTCGAGGGGGCAACTGTCCGAAGGGCAATGTGTGGATACCTAGCAGACCACGAAAGACTTACATATGTATATTGTTGGCAAGTGTAAGATACATGAACCGAAACTATATCTTATGTAGCAGATTATAAAGTGTTCTGGAATAAAATATGATCGTTCATCATAAAATGTTTTAAACTAAATCAATTATAACTTTATAAACATTTTAAAATCGTAATGAGTATGCTGTGATTTCTGCTATATAGTTTCATAGATATGAACTTGAAGCGTCCATTTTGTTATATTATGAACTTAATTACAGAATAACTATTACTTTAAAAATGACGCGATTAAATAAATGTTAAATGTGTCCTAACTTTGATATGCTACCCATTTTTTTATTCAAAGATTGAATATAGGGATGCTGGAATAATTTCTTAGTTAAAAGAGTTTTAATGTTTGATTGCATTTCATGTTTTCTTTGTCTGCGCATAGGCAGGTCTATTTTTTCACGTGTATTTCATGACCGGGTCTGTCTGACTAGAACAGATCTGTGCACGTGCAAAAGATAGACATCATAACGGACTTTCTTTTGTTTAAACAGGTCTATCCGAAAAATATAGACCTGTCACAAACAATAGAGGAGGTGTGTAAGCAAGGATAAAGTGTAGCTGTCGTAAAAAATTAACATAAATGATATTTTGATGCAACTATGTATAAAACTCTGGTGCCGTGCAAAATTAATTATAATACATAAAAATAAACTTAGACAGGAAAATACATACAGATATACAGTACGATTTAGATTGCAAAGATCAGAAAATACCACAGAACTTGCAGCCCTTTGATTCATTATAAATATACATGCTTATAGTAAGCTCCAGGACTATTTACATTTGTGTTAAACAACAGTTCAAGTCGTTACAAGCCCTAATTTAGAATAATATGGTTTTCTTCAGGCCGTTCACATATAAATTCACCGTGGCTGAAGGGTTTTCGGCAATATAAAGTGGAGACCTCAATGATGGCTGCAGTGGTGAAAGTTTACGTTTCGTTCTATTTGAATTTGGTGTTGGCTTTGGCGTGAGTTTTCGTCCGACGCGTTTACTTTTATATAAAGGTGAACGGTATGTTTGTGCGAACGGTGATTTTCTTGGTGAAAATTTACGCTTTTTCAGTGATGATGGCTTGGGGGAAAAATCTTCGCCGGTGTGAAAACTTGATAAGATTTATGTTTGCGTTTTGGGCGATGCAACGCAAGTTTTGACTTCCTCTTCGCCATCTGAAATAAAAAACAAACTAAATTTAATTAAGCAAACACAATATAGTCCAGCGTTCAAAAAGACATTAACGGGCGCTTGTATATATTTCAAATGACCAACCGACGTTTGCATATTTCTCATGATCAAACGACGTTTGCAAAATCGACACTAAGTGAAAAAACATGTGTTTATATCGAATATAACCATGCCAATGGAATTATTAATAAGTTAGGGACGAGAATTTCTTGTAAAAAGATATATCTTCTATTATTTTCCCTCTACATGGGTTTTCAGTGAACAAAAAAGATTAGAAAAGATAAAAGCTATCGGCGTTTGCCTTGCAAAAAGAAAATTTGTGTCGAAGTGTTCTAAAAAACTACTTAAGTCTAGTAATGACTACTCACATAAAATAAAAGCTTAATTTACGCCGGGTCCTACGGTCTATGTCTTATTTTTGTGTTCGCACCGGAAAAAAAGATATCTGCAAATGATTACCTGAAATCGGGTCCGTGTATGCCAAAATCACAAATCGACGTTTGCATTTGTGGTCACGTGACAAAACTTGTTCATCCACGGTGAATATCTTTAATTTAGTAATTAACGCTGTACAGACGTTTACATGACGTCACAATGTAGCGCCAAACAGCGTGTGCTTACGCATAAATTACTGCGCGCTGTACAATTGCAGTTGGTAGCAAGCAAGGGGATTCGTTACGATTTTCTTTGATAATGAAATTAAATAAAAAGGTTATTTTTTCGTTTTTCGTGAAATATGGTATATATTTTCACTCAACATGATAGAATCCCACATATTTTCACTCGCAGTACTGGCTCGTGAAAATATGTGGCATTTTATCATGTTTCGTGAAAATATATTCCATATTTCACGCAAACGAAAAAATATCCTCTTAGTATTACAATCGTGGCTTTCCTGACAATGCCATATTAATCCGTATTAAAACCGTAGCTTATACGTAGGGTAACCGTACAAATATGTAATTCTCCGTACCAAACCGTGGAAATCCTTGACAAGTTGGTGGTCTACGAATCAGTATGGACTAGTACGGTTTTAGTACAGACCAGTACGTATCAGTACGGTTTAATACGGACTAGCAGGGATACGCTACGGTTGATTTTTCCATAGCAAATTTTTGTGCATGTTCAAAAAATGTCAAGGATCGCTACGGATATACAAGGACTACTACGATTGATTACCAAACATGTGACATCCCGGCGGGATTTTAAAAAATCCCGATATTTCAACACTGATCCCGATTCCCGATATTACAGCTTGAATTCCCGATATTTAAAAAAAAATCAACATAAAAAAAATCAAACACAGCACCTGTTACAGTAGTGTATCTAAAATGTAAACCATCCCTCCGGGCATTGATTGTTATCTGTCCATATCCTAAATTATAGCGGATTAAATGTTGAGTCGCTAATTGACGTAATAAACAGTTCCAATACCCAAAGTTATTCTCACATGTTTAACTTGTCACGTGTCGTGTGTCAGTCAATTGACCTCTTGTAATTTGGCAGTAGGTATTACACGCTACGTCATCAAAACTACCCTGTCAATTTACATGTATGAATTCGGCTCAACCTTTGATTTTCTTTGATTAGTGCCACACTGATAAAGATAAAAGGTGAGCAGAATCATTTAAAGTGGATCATTCAAAACCTGTTTCAGATGTCTAATTAACCTATTTTTAGTGAGTTGGTAATTTTTTGTTTTGTTTAGGAATTACACAATCATCGAGGCAAAAATGTGGATTTAATTAACGGAACAATTCTTGCATTTATTTTGAGTCTTCTACTTATGACTTATGTTACGTTATTTAACTGTCATAGTCTTATGTTCATGAATAGTTGTTGCACGTTTTCAAATAGCTTGTGTTTAATTATTGAATGACTGAAAAGACATATAATTCTTCAAACTGAAAATAATGAAATGTGAAAGTGTGACTGTTTTAGAAATAGCCTGTATGACTACACTTATTTATTTATCTATTTATTTATTTTTTTGGTGAAATAAATTAATATTGATCAACAAAAAAATCATAAAAAGTATAATCATTTAATGATTTTGAGGGTAATATAGATTCTTTGAACCAAATGTGCCAAACACGCATTGAAATTTGAGTCGATAAAAAAATCCAGTTTTGAGCCTCAAAATCCAGCTGAAAATCCAGAATCTAGCTGAAAATCCAGATTTGGCCCATTTCATTTGTCACATGTATGGATTACGGTTACAATACGGAAAGCTACTGACCAGTACAGGTAGCTACGGACAATGCCGGAATTATCCGTGGCTCATCCGTGGGCGTATTTCCGTGAATATGTGACCGGGGTATAATCGGCGAATTGTTTTTAAGTAAACATCACATAATTCATACTCAATTTTTTTTTTACTTTTACAGTGTGAGAAACAGCGAATGATATAAACAAATAAAATTGCGATCCAAGATCTCTGGACTGACTAATATTTTGATTTGTGATTATCTGAGTGCGTGGATTAGCGTCCCAGCCCTAATATGAACGGATAAACTAAAGACCTTAAGCTAGGAATATGACCAAATATCGTCAATAAGATAAGCCAAAAAATCCCTGGCAATATAAAAATTCAGCAAGATACAATGTAAGGATTAATAATATAAAATATTTAAAACAAAACAACTTACTGCCTGGCGTCGGGTCTGCAATAAGCGCAACATAGCTTTTGAATGTTGTCAGCTGTGTTGTGGCATTGTGCGGACTCAACGGCGACGCTATCATGATGGCACTCATTTAGAATTGTACAGCTAACGTCTTCCTGAATTCATGTATAAAATAGACAATAATACAATGTAATCAAGATAGATATCAAATTATCAAAACAATATTTTTTGGTATCTTTTAATATTCAAATAATTAGACATTATTAATTTATGAAGATTTTGCTATGGATTAATCATTAACAGTGATTAAGGTTAAATTTTCTTAGTAAAACAAATTCATTACAAAATATGCAAAACAAATATGCATTCAAATTTCAGTCTTAAATTACAAGATTCTTCTTGCCTTATGCTATTCTTGTTAAAACTACATAAAAGCTAACCTAAACACTAGTAATTTAAAGTCATTGCTAAATAAATAAAATATGTCCGCAGTTTTGTTATCCGTATAATGCTACACTTCCTGCAAAATTCGAATAACTGCTGCTCCTGCGATGCGTACTTAAATGTTAACTCTTGCATAATTGAAGTATTCGAGTGCAACTTTATAAGGAAAGGTATTATAAGCCTGCATCATATGTAACAACAGTACAATACCTGTTTTTCTCATCTTTTTGTTTAACCCTCGCCGAAATGAAACCGGAAGTCTTCAATTTCGAAGTATTGAAATAGCTAATGCGCATGTCCTAAGAATTTGATATAAAACTTTTAGAAATTTGACATGATAAAATTTGTTTTTATTATATTTTAAAAAATGCCTTCTAAGAATGAATACAGATATAGTTAAAATATGTTACTATCTTTACTTCTGGCTGTTTATTTGTGTGATTGGTCTCAATAAATATGTACGACTTCAAGTAACATCGTTATCATCTCATCATTTATCATTTAATGACATTGAACTTGGAAGTCTTCCGATAAAGAGCCTTTTTAAGCATGAACGATAAGACGTTTCATTTATAGGGGACATTCAAGTTTTTTTCTATAAATGGTATCAGGGACTTTGATGGTACATGATTTATTTTCATCGAGTGGTATGAAAATAAATATTTCATGAGTGGCGGTAGCCACGAGTGAAATATGATAATTTTAATGCCACAAGATGAAAAAATCATGTATTTATAGAAAAACTTGAATTTTCTGTTTATTATTTACATTTGCCTCTTTTTTAACAATACAATTTGAAAGACTTTCCCTTAAATTTTGTATACTTGCAGAATTTAAAAGAAAGTACTCTGGCAAGACACCAGTGAAAACACGAGAAAAGGTGACACAGTATTGATGGCGGCAGTAATGGCGGAGGTGATAATAGTGTTTATGACGACGATGATGGCGATGATTTGATATAACTGATACTTTATTCCATATTTATAAATTAACTTCACAGAAAACAATAATACATGTAAAGTGATAGCATTTTTACCTTCTTTGTTTAACATCTTGGACGTTGGACGTTTTGCGGAACTCCTTTTAAAATGCATGAGCCTTATTTCTGCTACGCATTATTTGAATGTTTTCATTTCCTAAACATCTTGTATAAAATTTTATCTGAGCGTTTTTTTTTCTGTTTTTTTCTTTGTATGACATGTATATTCGTCGACATCAATAAACTTTAATTTCGGGGAAGATGATAAACTTGTATAAATTAGAGACACGTTTGCCTAGTGTTTCATACTTGGAGATTCGTACATTAGTTACCAGTTAGCTGTACGTGTTGTGTGTTATTGGATTCCTCTTTTTCAAGAAAGGTACGCTAAGCTTTAATTATTTCATTTATTTCATACTTAAAAAATAAATATCGAGAAATATTAATTGATGAAATAAAATGCGTATTTTCATTTTCCGTATTTTTGCTGTACAAAATTTATTTTTTACTGCAGTGAAACATATTTTCCTTATTTTCACTTATGTCTTGCCTGATTATTTTCTTCTTAATTCAGCTAATAAACAACATTTTTTGAAATGTCAAAAAAAGAAGAGAAAAAATGTATATATTAAACAGACAATTCAAGTTTTTTTTCTAAAGATTTTCGTCTTCTGGTATGAAAATAAATATTTCATAGTGGCGGCAGTCACAATTAAGTGAATATGATATGATAAAAAATCTATAAATACAGGATTTATTTTCATCTTGTGATATGAAAATTATCAGATATATTACTTATGACTTCCGCCACTCATGAAATATTTATTTTCATAGCACTCAATGAAAGTAAATCCTGTGTTTATAATTAAAAACTTGATTATCCTATATCTTTTCCATTTTAAGTGTTACAATTCTTATATTCAGGAATTGTTTACTTGAAAAGTTTTTTCCTTTTTTCCGAAACGATTATTTTTGACATCGGCAAATTTTAAAAGATTTTTAGGAATTTGGCTTATTTCTCAATAATTTAGTTTCTATTTGTTTAATCAACATGCCTCCAGATTCATGATATTTTTTATGAAAATTTTGAAGATGAATTTAAATGTAAAATATTGTGAAGTAGACAAATCCGGGATTTTACACATTGCAAACGGTACTTATAATCCATGTAATAAATCAACATGCAAAAATAGCCCTTACTGCGTTATTCAAAATTTTAGCATATTTTTCTCAAGTTTGATTTTCTTGAAATACTTTAACTCATCTGGGTGCATGAAGCTTCAAATTTCGATTGGCGTTAAAGCTACATGCCTAGCTCTAGATGAGCCAAAATATTTTAATAAAAGCAATCATAAGCAAAAATGTACTAAGATTTTAGAAAAAGAAAAAAGAGATTCAAGCTTCAAGTAATAATTGCCATCTTAGGTGCGATTAATGGCTGATTTTTCAGTATTTATATCTAATTTAAATTTATACTGCGTTACTAACGCAGCGTTAGTAAAGGACATTTTTCGTATATTTTGACCTCTAATAATTGGTAGTTAACATGAATGTAAGTGTCATTGATAATGTGCAAACTACTTACATTGGCTACTTCACAAGTTTATATTTTATCATAAATTTTCAATTTTTTCATGAAAATCAGCATGAATCTAGAGGAGTGCTGCTTTAATTTTAATTTAATGACAGAAATAGGAGCAACTTACCCGCGATAAAAATGGACAAATGGGCGCCGATACTATAATTCTACAGAAGAATTTCTCGTGTCCTTAAAATATATCGTGCCTCACGCACTTCGTGTAGGTGACGCGAGGCACGATAAGTGGGCATATTATCGTGTCTTCGAGTCTTCGCCATCGACGTTGAGGTAGCGTCAATAGTTTGACTCCCCAATCTATCCCTAGCTTGTTTATAAAAGTCGAGGAATAGAAAGAAATCCTCAAATTCTTTTTGTAACTGTTGTAGAAATTCTGCAAAAAGTCAAGGGATGGAAAATTATAGGCCGTGACTCTTTGTTCCTCAGCAACGAATTTTTCATCAAAAGTTGCGGGTAAAAAATCCGCGACTTTCAGCTGCGACTTTTGATAAGATATCCGCAACTTTTCGCGCCGAGACATTTTCGGGCATAAAAAGTCGAGGCTTGATGCTCAAACTCGACTTTTACAGTTTTATGCACGCAGATTATAATGGCCGCAACCGGCATATGCTTGCGTGGCTTAGTCGACTTTTTACAGTTTTATGCACGCAGATTATAATGGCCGCAACCGGCATATGTTTGCGTGGCTTAGTCTACTATGTAGCCAGAAATGTAACGGTTCCCTTCGTAAACTCGACTTTTTATGACAGAAGTGTGAGAAAGTCGAGAATTTTTATAAGCCACGACATTATCGCGGATTTAAAAGTTGCCCGCAACAGTTTATTATATTAAACTGTCGCGGCTTTAAAGTGGACGCTATTGGCCATCATATTAAACCCCGCACAAAATGGCAAACAATCTGTAGCCAGGGGCTTGTTTTCAATTAGACAAGTGACAACTCTGGTCGGATTTTCTACACATTTATTCACATCTGTAAGTTTTAAAGTCAAGACAAAATATGCATCTGTAAATTCAGTGTGAATGTTTTAATTTGGATTTTCAATTTATACTGAAAGGGCAAGTTGGTAAAATTTGGTTGCTAACTTATACTTATCATTTTTACGGTCAAACTAATGTGTCAATATTATTGCTTATAATTGCATGGACGGAACTATCTTTTTGTGAAATAACTATTCCTAATACCATGGTATTTTCTGATATTTTGTGCCATAATAATCGATAAATGAAATTTTTTTAAATTTATAAATTATGGTTGGACTTTGAAGACAATACCATGAAATGTTGGGGAAGTACATTCTGTATCACTTGTTTTGGAAATAACGTTTGACACGATTTAAGAAAAAGGAGTTCTGAAAAAGTTACTTCTTGGAAGAAAAGATAGAAAACAAAACTATCTCAAGATAAGTGCTTTTGAATTAAAACTCCGTTTATATTGACTAGAAAATAAGAAGAATAAGTTTGCAACCAGAAATGCTTTAAGAACAAGTTTGCAACCAAAATGTGTTTGAACAAGATATCTTGCAAATTAAAACATTTACACTGTATTGACAGATACGTATTTTGTCTTCTTTTGTTAACCTTTAAATTTTATAGGTAGCACAAAAATCGCCCTGGATTGTCACTTGTCAAATCTCAAAATATGTACATGACCAGGTTAAATATTCAACATCTTCGTCGAAGCTGAGATCTTAAACCGAGCGTGCTACAAACGTTTTTTTTTTAAATTATGGATATATCAAAGAAATTCAAAGTAACATATAAAAACCGACATAACCTGAAGAAATAACGTGCGAGTGTTGTAAATATTCATATGACTCGGTGGCCATTTTGCAACCAATTTTCTCGCTTGATACAATTGTGCAACAACTTCACGTCCTGCTCCTTGTGTCCCTTGAGTAGAATATGTGTTTAAATTCCTTGGAAAATGAAAGAAGGAATAAAATGTTTATGTGCCGGTAGTTACGAACCAATCTGTTACCAGAATTTTCCATCGGGACACCTATTAAATAAAATAAATACTGATGTATAAATATTGAAAATAGTTTTGCTCCTTTGCCTCTATTATTAAAAGCCAAACTTGTATTAAATATATATTAACCTGTATTAAATTAAATAAAAATCACAATGCATATTAAGGCCATTTTAAGACAAGACAACCCTTCGTTGATTACAAAGAAATAGTAACCTCCAAGAAGACCAATTGTCTACAAAGGACATGTTCGGCCTCTCCCTCGGATAGCTTTTTAACAGGTCTGACTGTATTAAACCACATCTATGTTAAATTATCTTAGTTGATCTCATCATCATAATATACACAGTGCTGTCGTTTGTCAAATACAATTCATCCTATACCAGAATTTAGAAACATAGAGCGTCGAACCGACCGTAACAAGAAAAGTTGGCTCCGAGGGACATAAATATTTAACCCCATGAAGACGAAAGCCCAAAACGTTGATATTCAAGTGTTATTGGTTAATCTTTCTATCATAAAATTTTAGCAATAAAATATTACAAAAAAAGTTTCGTCCATTCTAGATTCATATCCATTTTTTCTCTTTTCTAATTTCAGAAAATGTTCAATTATATATAGCAAATAATGAAAGTTTTTTTTATGATCAGTATCATCAAAGAAACAGAAACACATGTAACAATTATTTGATTAAAAAACCCCGAGTTTAAAGTACGGAACATTACTTAACAGCTGCCGCTCAACATTTGACATATTCCGTTTATTAAAAGTACAATAGTACATATACATAGGGCGATCGATCATAAAATCATAAAAAATTGAAACATAAATAACAAAAATTATTGACCTAAAACAATACTGCGTATTATCTTTTCAGGGCCTGACTTTGTTGATCATTTAAACGTTTCAACAGATTTGAAAAAAATTGGTTGATCTTTCTATCATAAAATTTTAGCAATAAAATATTACAAAAAAATCGTCCATTCTAGATTCATATACATTTTTTCTCTATTCTCATTTCAGAAAATGTTCAATTATAGCAAATAATGAAAGTTTTTTTTTATGATCAGTATCATCAAATAAACAGAAACACATGTAACAATTATTTGATTAAAAAACCCCGAGTTTAAAGTACGGGACATCACTTAACAGCTGCCGCTCAACATTTGACATATTCCGTTTATTAAGAGTACAAAAGTACATATACTTAAGGTTATCGATCATAAAATCATAAAAAAATTGAAACATTAATAAAAATTATTGACCTGAAACAAGATTGCGTATTATCTTTTCAGGACCTGACTTTGTTGATCATTTAAACGTTTCAACAAATTTGAAAAAAATTGGTTGATCTTTCTATCATAAAATTTTAGCAATAAAATATTACAAAAAAAATCGTCCATTCTAGATTCATTTACATTTTTTCTCTATTCTCATTTCAGAAAATATCAATTTTAGCAAAAAAAAGTTAATATGATCAGTATCATCAAATAAACAGATACATATGTTACAATTATTTGATTTTAAAAAAACCTGAGTTTAAAGTACGGGACATCATTTAACAGCTGCCGCTCAACATTAATTAAAAGTACAATAGTACATTTACATAGGGCGATCGAACATAAAATCGTAAAAAATTGAAACATAAATAATAAGATTTTTTGGCCTAAAACAATATTGCGAATTATCTTTTCAAGGCCTGACTTTGTTGATCATTTAAACGTTTCAACAGATTTGAAAAAAAAAAACAAAAAAAAAAAAACTTAAAAAAACACACACAAAAAAACACACACAAGGTATATGTGCAAATCATTATCTTAATATAAGGATTTTTTGTTTTGGATAAGTGCGAGATCAATGTTTGGTAAATATTGAGTGAATATCACATGTACTTCGAGAATATTCAAGTGTGTCAAAGCAAAATCCAGTCACGCTGGACTCACGTAAGACCCTCAGTAGGGCACCAAACAAAAAGGAGTGGTCGTATTAATAAATAATAACATTTGACAACTTAATAAAACAACAATTAAAATGTCGAAGCCATATAAAAACGTTTTTAAAGCAAGTGTAATAACACAATTGTATAAATATGATCTTCGTTGAATCCTTTAGCACTTTTATACTTGATTATAAAAAAATAAGAAGAATAAGTTTGCAACTAGAAATGTTTTTATTATAAGTTAAAAAATAAAATGCAATTGAACAAGATATGAACATGCAAATAAAAACATTTACACTGTATTGGCAGATACCTATTTTGTCTTTTATGTGAACCTTTAAAATTTACAGGTGTGAATAAATTAGTCCTGGATTATCACTTGTCAAATCTCGAAATATGCACTTATACATCTTCAATAACTCCGTCAAATCAGAAGCTAGATAGTGAGGCCTTAAACCGAGCGTCCTATAAACATTGCCTTAAAGAAAGGGTAATTAAAAAAATCCAAAGTGACATAATTATGCGGGTGTTGTACATATTCATGACTGGTGGCCATTTTGTCAAGTTTGCAACAAATTTTCTCGCTTGAACCAAGTGTGCAACAACTTCACGTCCTGCCCCTTGTGTAGAAAATTAGTTTAAATTCCTTTAAAATGTAGGAAGGGGCAACGTGATATTAAATTTGTAGACTATCTTAAGTATTTGATTAAAGATAATGAAACAAAATCTTAGGTCTAATTAACATTAATTAATAATTCACTCTTCGACCAATGACCCCAAAGAAACAAATACAGATGTTACAAATATTAAATTAAAAAAAAAAACAACCCTGAGTTAAAGTACGGAACATCATTGAACAGCTGTCACTTAACAATTTGACATATTCGATTTATTAAGAGTACATGTGGGAAGGGCCAATTCTCTAATGTTGTTAAAATTTTGTGGCCTTTAAGAAAACTGTAACGTCCATGTAATAACTGTAAATATAAATTGTTACTGTTTTGTCGTTTGTTTGCATGTGATACTGCGTTTGTGTTTTTGTATAAAAATAAAAAGCAATAAAATCTGATTAAACTTAAACTAAAAATTAAGTAAAAAGGTACAATGGTACATATACTTAAGGTGGTCATAAAAAATTGAAACATAATTTAAAAATTGTATAGACCAATAACAATATTGCGTATTATCTTTTCAGGGCCTGGTTTTGTTGATCATTTAAACGTTTCGACAGATTAAAAAAAAAAAAAAAACATGAATCAGTTGTTGACGATAACATTGGCGGTAAGAATAATTTTAATTAGTTCACTTTAAATGAGAATGCCTGCTTATTAACGATTTTGGTACAGTATTAAAATATTTGTTAAAGACCACTTCCAAAAAAAGGACACCTGTAAATTAAATTAAGGCCACTCTCCCACAACCATTCATTAAGTAAATAGAACATAGTAACCTTCAAAGTAAGACCACTTGTTTATAACGGCCATGTTTGGTCACTCCTTTTGTGGCCTTTATTAACATATATGACTGTATTAAGAAATGTTCTGTAGCATTCAGCTTACAAGTTTCATACTTTTGATAGACACTTCCTTCTACCAGTCTTCCTTTCAAGCAACATGCCTCCAGATATATGCTTATGCTAATTCTCATGAATATTTTTAAATTATCAAGTCAAATATTTTCAGAAATTCACACATTGCAAACGGTACTTTAAACATACGAAAATTATCCAACATAGATAAAATTGAATGTAAGCAAAAATAGCCATTACTACTTTAGTCACGCAATATAACTTTATAATATGGCTATGTATACTATAAAATCAGTCATTAATTGCATAAAACATGTAAATTATGTTTTGAATTGTAAGTATTTTTACTTTTCTTATTTCTTTCTAGAGGTTGATGTTCTTAAAATATTTTAGCTCATCTGGAAGTCATTCCTTTAAAAGTGATTATGCAAGTCCAAGTTGTTTTAAATGTTAAACTGCTGGAACCGAATTTCATGCCACAAGTAATTAGGCTCCATACTGTTTGTTGGTAGCTCACTTTAATATTTGGATAATGAAATCTTTTATACTTTGAATTATAAAACATGTCCCAAATTTAAAACTGGGCAAACTCATTTAAAAAATTCAGCCATTCAAGAGTTACAACAACGTATTTTTGCGAATATACAGTCATGTACATAGACGATTTAATTTCCATAACAGGTCCTCCTTTTGCTGGTGTATCTAGACCTGTCAAAATCAACGCCTTTGAAAAAAAGTCTTAAAAATGAAGCAAGGTCTGTCAAAACGTCAGCTGAAAAAATTCAGGAATCGCCTTTGGATGAGACCAAGAAACGGTCAGTGAAAACTGTCAATCCTAATGGAATGCTGAAGGGATACATGAAATGTGATGCCCACACTGAGGTGAATTATTCCTTAATATTTTCATAGGTGAACTATATTTAGATTAGTTAGTGTTATTAAGGTGGTCTACGTCCTGGTGTCAAATCTGTATGTTCTGTAAAAAAAAAAGAACTCCTTATTCTTAATTAGATTTTCAAGATTCAAGATTTTATTCAATCAAACCAGAAGGTCATAAACCCATGTGGTACATATATTACAAATAAATTTTGAACAATATATAATATTACAAAATATACATGCATAATATCTGAACATACCTCTACATGTATCTAGTATATGTACACAATCATTTTAGTCTCTTATATATATGTGTTCATAAATTTCAATAGAAAGGGGACATAACTATACATGAAACGCAAATTCACATTAATTTGTGTTATCTCCCTTGCACTGAGGCGTATTTATAATATAATTTATCAAATTTTCGATTAGTGAGACTTTCTAATTATGTGTCATATATTATCTACTCATATATTGTTGTAATCATTAATATAACTATTTTGCTTCAAAAACCCATACAATTCTGATTCTGAATAAAAACCGTATCATGCATAAGAATAGAGACTAACAAATTACACGTTTTGAATATTGTTTTGGTATAATAATCGCATTTGCTGTTATATATATAATTTTTTTTTTTAATGTTGTCGAACTGTATGAGTATTTTAGCTTTACCGACAAATAACGAAAGAACGAAAGTGGTAAAACTTTGATTTGAATTGAACTTAAAAGCCTAATAATGATGAGCACATAAAATGCGTATAATATGTGACTACACCCTTAATTTGAAGTTTCACCCGAAACGAAAGTTGTGAAACTTCAACACAAGGTATCATTTTATTTAACAATTATTATCTCATGTAAAGAAAGTGAGGTTTACATAATAGGGTATAATTATTCAAACACGTCATACACTACATTTTTACTTATATAAAAATATACCATATCAAATCGATAATAACATGAAAGCATACACACTAAATACTGCATTTCTTGTTACAGTGAAGTAATTTTAGCATTCAAAGCATTAATTACCATATAACACAGTTTTTCTCAAAGTAAAAGCCTTTTCAATATACAATGATAAATTCTTAAGGATTTGCTTTTTATCGTTCATTAACAATTCTATAAATTTTTGCATATTTGGTCGCTTCCAGTAATATTTTGGGATGAATTGTTTTCTCAAATCATGATACAAAGAACATTCTAAGACAAAATGGTACTCGTCTTCAAGTATATTGCATATATTACATTTCCTTTCAATAACTGGTGTGCTCGTAGGCCTGGTCCACCGACCAGTCTCTATACATAATCTGTGCGAAGATAGGCGTAAACGTGACAAATTTATACGATATTTATTAATAACAACAATATCTAAGTACGACTGAAAACCATGATTAGCAATATATTTATACAATGAGGCTCTGCTTGAATCATTTAACCTACCAGACCAATTTTGCAAAAATTGATCTTTTATACGTTGCTTAACATTTAAAAGAAATAATTTTTCATCACCTATTGTTTGAAACAACCATGCATCATGAAAACCAAGAGTACATAATACGTTTCTCGTAAGTGAACACCAATTTTGTTTAGTTGGATTTATAATAACATCATTATATAACATATCATATACCTTTCTACAATATCTATTGTCGTTTGAATATAATAACTTCACCCAGTATCTAATTATATTATAATATCTAAAATTCTGTAGTGGCATCCTACCTAACTCTCCATAGATAAAGTCATTTTGTGTACTTTTCTTAACATTCAATAGACGTTTGCAAAATTGCATATGTAATCTTTCAATTGATAATCCTTTATTAAAGCCCCATACTTCACTACCATAGTTAAGAATTGGCAAAATTAGTTTATCGAACAATTCTATTCTATGTCTAACGGAGATATTTGTAAATTTATATAAATATTTATTCATTTTAAAAATTGCTTTTAAAGCTTGTCCAGAAAGTGTATTTTGTGTTTCAGCAAAAGAACCGCCTACTGTAAAGACTAAACCAAGGTATACAAATGATTTAACAATTTCTATAACATTTCCATCGTAATAAAATCTTAAGTCATCTGAAATTCTACCACCTTTTCTAAAAATCATAATTTTTGTTTTTGCTGCATTGACCACTAATTTCCATTTCTGACAATAATCAAACAACAAATCAAGATTGTTTTGTAACTCTAAACTATTGTTTGCAAAAATCACAATATCATCAGCATATAATATTAAAAACATTTTAAACATGTTAACATCTATCCCTTCAACATCATGTTTAAGATACATATCTTCAATATCGTTAAGGTACATAGAAAATAAAAAAGGAGACAAACATTCTCCCTGTCTAACACCCAATGTACATTGAAAACTATCACTTAAAGTGTTACAATATTTTACTCTAGACTTTACCGATGTGTACATTGATCTAATTATATTTAATATATTGCCTCTAAGACCAAATTTGATTAATTTTGTCCATAAATTGTCCCTGTTTACATAATCAAAAGCCTTACTAAAATCTATAAAAGCACAGTACAATTGTTTATTGTTATTTATAAAATGATTTATCAATCCATGTAAAACAAATAAATTATCAGTAGTTCCTAAATTAGACCGAAAACCTGCCTGTGCTTCAATATAAACACTATATGTCTCTGCCCAGTCCGTTAAACGATTATTGATAATTCTAGTAAATAATTTACCTAAAGCACTGAGCAACGTAATACCTCGATAATTATTTTCATCATTCATGCTTCCTTTTTTATGCAAAGGTATTATAAATCCTTCTGACCATACGTCTGGAAAATGTCCGACTTGAAAAATTTTGTTAAAAAGTGTTAACAAATGGGGTATCAATGCCTCTTTACCATATATAAACAATTCATTAATATACATATCTGGACCTCCACTTTTGTTATTGCTTAATTGTTTAATAGCGTTTGATAAATTTTCATAAGTAAATGGCAAGTTCAAGCAAGAAAACATAACATTAAACTCCTCACTTTCATATCTTTCTATAAAATGCAACACATCTTCATCCGGTGAAAAAAAGGGATCTTCAGGATTATTTACAGATTTGAAATAACGCTCAAAAGTTTCCATAGGTATATTAGCATCTTTAACACCAGCACAGTTTTTTAACATTTTCCAATACAACCTTGCATTTTTAAATTTAGCATTCACAAGTTTATTAGTTTCTTTTTTATCAAAAACAAATCTAGCATTACGTAAACATGACTTATATCTAGACCTTACCGTTACCATGTTTACACGGTTAGCCTCAGATTTATCATTTCTATACAAATTCAGCGCAGCGTAAAATGCCCGCTTAATATCGTCACATTCTTGTGTGTACCACTTTTGATTCGTATCTACATAATTAGTATTTGATCTTTGGTTTCCAACATTACGTTTAAATAAAGGTGAGCACACATCATCCATAATACTAGCAAATTCACTTACACACGAGTTAATATCATCATTACTGTGCGATTGTTCAACATTTACATCAAACATATTCAATTTATGTACAATATCATTTTCATTCAATTTACTTATATAATCATTAGCATTATCTTTATACCACACATATTTATATTGCGACGTTTCATAAGACCGCTTATTATCTATAATATCAGCCTGTTTTACACAAAATACCAAGTGACATTCTACTAAACAGTGATCAGTAATAACATTTGGATCATTTACATTAAAATAATCTACATGTTCAAATAAATTTTGAGTACATAAAAAATAATCAACAACACTGCTGCCTCTGTTTGAAACAAAAGTATATTTGCCTAATGTATCTTTTAAACGGCCATTTATTATTCTAATACCAGTCTGCTTACATAAATCTAACAGTAACTGACCATTATTGTTCACGTGACCGCTGTCCTGCGACACGCGTAACAGATTTTCATCAATTTGATAATCTTCTGGCAAAATATCAGCATGCCCGATGTTATCACTTACAACCCAATCTGGTAAATTACTTGTTCTAGAGTTGAAATCGCCACATAACATAAAATTGAAGCCGTTCTCATATTTATTATCTAAACTAACAATGTATTCAAGCAATCTATCATATGTACTGTTATCAATCATAGCCTCTCTGCTACTATTTTCGGGTACAATATAACATAATCCAATAAATAAATCATTTGTCAAGCCAATTTTAGACCCGCTTATTTTTATACAAATAATATCATCTTCGCTAGTGAACACCAGCGTGTCTTGCGTCACAAAATCATTTCTAACATAAATGCAAATACCACCCGAGGCTCTTTTTGCAGACGCTTTATTGACAGTTCTATTTAAAAAGAAATGCTCAAAATTATTAACATTAAAATTGCAATATTCATTTCCCCAAGTCTCAGTAAAACATACAATATCATTATTTTCAAAAATATTTAAAACTTCTTCAGACTGTAATTTATTGGTTCGTTTGGTCACTAAACCTTGAATGTTCAATAGCGCGCATCGCAGCGTGACCTTCTGATCAGTAAACTATAATTGTCCAGTATTTACACTGCTACCCGTCGCCTGCTTTCGTTCCGCCTGATGATCTTGACCTGGATTATTCGACTGCGAGCTATTTTTAGCACGCGTAAAACCCAAATCTGTATTTTCACGTGTAGAGCTGACACTGTTTCGCCTATACGGCTTGGTTGAACTCGAGCGTTTCTGAGACCGGGAGATACCAGATACACGCTCTCGCCCTCTAGTTACACGTTGTGCAAGAGGCGTGTCAATATGTTGACACGCCGAATCTGGAACATGTTTCAATAATGTCTCATCACTGTCAAAATTTGGCATCGAACTCGGGACAACACAAACAGCTGGTTTATTTATAACTGGGGATGGACTTATTTGTGCTACATTTTCATGTTCAGGGTAGGAAGTGGTCAAAACAGAGGAGTTCAATGTGTTGGGGGGCAAAATTGTATTTCTAGTCGGACTATCAATACTGTGATTTACACTGATGGGATTTATATCATTTTGATTAGCCAGATCAACAATGTGAGTACTTTGGACACAAGGGTCAGGGGGATCTGGGGATACATTCTGGACAGTGGAGACATTGGGACTAATGGAGCTAATATTGTTTGTATCGATAATATCAGTGGTAGGAAATGTCTGCGTTTCCATCTGACAGCTCTGACGTTCATTGCTAGTGTCATTTGGTGGGCTAACACTGTTATTGTTTAACACGGGAATCGGTAGGAATGATCCGCACTGTTGTGATAAGCTAGCTGCCAACATATTCATAAAAGAATTAAGTGTTAGCTGTGCCATTAACGGCTGAGGTGGAACCGGCAGTGGTATTTGCGGCATACCAGCGCTCACAGGGATACGCGGCTCACTACATGAAGAATGCTGTAAGTTAGTACTTGTTTGACTTTGATTTACTAGTTCCTGTTCTTCCGCACGTGCAAATTGTGATTGTTGTTGCGTATTATTTGCTGCTTCTGAACCCTCGGCTCTAGAAGATATGCGATCAAGGAGCTCGAACCTATCAATTTGAGTATATCTATCCCACTCCGGAAGTGCATCGTGTATCAGCTTACCGTCCTGAATGAGTTTCGCTGGGTAGACAATTTGAATTTTAGATCTAGGCGCTTCATTTTTTAGCTTTTTAAAGTCTGGCCATAATTTTGATCTAGCGTTCTGAATTTCACGGGGAAGGTCAATGTCAACAGAGAATGGGGTACTTTTTAACATATGCGCCCGGTTCATGATCTTTTCTGTATCGCAATAATCTCTAAAGTTCACAATAATCGGACGACGTGAAATGCGATTATGACTACGTCTACCTAACCTGTGTGCACGCGATAGATAAATTGCCCCGGGGTCCAAATCAAGATGGTTTCTCATGAAATCTCGGATCAGTTCAAAACAATTTTCACCTGGATTTTCAGCTAGCCCACGAAATATGAGGTTGTTCCTACGTTGTCTGGCCTCAGCATCAACTTGTTTATATGTAGTGGCTCTTAAATATTCAGTATGTCTATCTGTGGTTCTTGACACCCTCTCAATTTTGGAGTCTAATAAGCTAACTGCATTGCCTAAATTTTTCACGCAGTTATTAAAATGTGATTGATCTGACCTGATTGATCTGAGCTCCTCGTACATCATGTCCATCTTACAATCCATAGTACTGTTTGTAAAAATCTGCTGTTTATCCATATCAAGACAATGGTCAACGTTTGAACGTAAATCACCGTCCATAACTTCCCGCGAAAATTCTGGCACGAACAATGGTTCAAAACGATTGTGCGTTTCCACTCCAAAACTCATAGTTTAAATCCAAAATATCATCAAATCGTTCTCAATAATGATTTTTAAAAAGTTTGTCTATATAATCCAGTACAATATATTCCGATCTATGAACTCTAAACACAATTTTTCAGCTTTTTTCAGCTTAGCAAAAAATTTTACGTATCGACAGACGCCATATTTAATTAATTAAGATTTTATCTCTCCATATTATGCATTTGAATTACTATGTAGGGCTTACCAGACTTAGGAGAAATAAAATCCTTTTGAGGACTTTTTGATTTTAAATTAGGAGTTAAAGCAGCCTAATTAGGAGTTTGATGTTCTTATTATAGGTTAAAAAACAAAAGCAAAGGAGAGATGACATCCTAATTAGAACTATGTTACTCCTAATCAGGAGTTTAATAAGTCTATTAGAAAACGAAAACTTTATAACTCCAAATCAGAAATTAGAAAAGCCAAAATAACACTTTGTAATTCCTTAATCAGAGCTTTAACCACCTTGTTAGGAGAAAATAAAATTCGTAATGAGAAATTCATAGATTCCTAATTAGGCTTTTTACTCCTTATTAGGAGTTTATAAAATCCTTAATAGGTTTCAAAGACTCCTAAGAGTTAAGAGCTGCAAAGTAATTCTTAGGATGTTATTTTCTCTTTTAAGGAGTTTATACATGTATATATGTATAATTCATATAAGCACTTTTAAATCTCCTAATTACGAGTTACAAATTCCTAATCTACTAATTAGGAGTGACACTAAATTTTGCCCTTTTTTCTCATAATTAAGTTTATATTGCCCTTGTTAGACTCTGATTAATAGCCTCTAATTAGAAGTTTCCAAATTATACTAAAGCTTCCATTTCTTTTAAATAAGGACGAATAAAGTTCAAATAAGACTTTTATGTTTCCTTATCAGTCATTTAAGGAGTGACAATTTTATGACCCCTAGTTAGGAGTAATTTTTATATATAGAACATTAGTATTTGGCTCCAGGACGCTTCCGAAATTTCAAGACCATTTTAGAGGTGTATTGCATTACAAAATATCTAACAATCCTACAGCACAATGATGTATGTATTGATTTCTAGGTTTGTGTATACATAAATAATGTTCTACAATTTATTATATACATGTACTTACATATGAAATATTGAGAAATATTGATGAAATAAAATGCGTATTTTTATTTTCCGTATTTTCACTGTAAAAAACTATTTTTCACTGCAGTGAAACATATTTTCCGTATTTTCACTGGTGTCTTGCCGGACTACTTTCTTCTAAATTCAGCCAATACACAAAATTAAAGGGAATTCTTTCTATTCATATGGTTAAAAATAGAGAAATAGTATATAATAAACAGAAAATTCAAGTTGTTTCTAGATCTATGAATGGTGTGAAATGGTATGAAAATTATCATATTTCACTCATGGCTACTGACACTCGTGAAATATTTATTTGTCATACAACTCGATGAAAATAAATTTTGTATTTATATAGAAGAAACTTGAATATCCTCTATGTATTACAGTGTCCAGAAGGCTATGCTTGTTTAAAGCATGGCTTTGGAAAGGCCAACATCGTATCGGAAATGAAATGCTTCAAGTGTAAGTAGTGAATTTTCATACAGTACACCTAAACGAATAAAATATGAATAGTAAACACATTCAACATTCACATTTCTTTTCCATGTCACTCTATTCCATAATTATTTTATTTTCCCTTTATTTCTAAGTCTCTAGCATTTTTTCAATTGAATCAAATCTTGAAAGACGCTTGGCAGCGCTGTACTGATAAGGGGAGATCACTGCGTAGGAGATTGGTTTATCATTCCACTCGGAACACCACGACTATAATTTATTATGGTCTGGAGTTTGACGGAAAAGTTTTAGATTAAAATTGTGTATAGTTAGGAATAAATATGTGTACATAGTGCAGTTAAGGAAATAGAAGTACAGGTTAGAAAATATAAACATGTATAAAAAGTGTTCAGGAATGCACGAATTTTAGGAACAAGTATATATTTGATAAGAGATTGCTATGTAAATATGTAGGACTGAATGCATGACTTATATAGGATTGAATGAATAATTGAGCCGTGACACGACAAAACCAACATAGTGCGTTTGCGACCAGCATGGATCCAGACCAGCCTGCGCGGACACGGCTCAATTATTGAATTCAGTGTGTGTCAGTTATAAGTAATAAGTATGTGAAAAGCATTTCAGACAGAATACATGTACATAATTATATGAATAGAGTAATATAAGTATCGTTTAGGGATGGATATATAAATTGTTAATATATGAAAAGCGTTTAGAAAAAATACACGAATAGCGTTTTATGAATAGCATTTTGGAAGAATATTTGAAAAATGTTTAGGAAAAATATATGAAAAGCGTTTAGGATTGAATGCATGAATAATTAGTAATGAACAAGGGAATGTTTAGGAATTAAGGGAATGTTTAGCAATCAAGGGAATGTTTAGGAATGAAGGTGTAAATAGTCATGAATAGGCATGAATATAGGGATATTTAGGATGGGTATTTGAATAATTGCGAAAGAAAATTCAATTAATTAGGAGTGAATTTACTATGTGAATATAGGTAGAAATGCATATGTGAATAGGTCGAAATGAATACGTTATCAATTAGGGAACGCGCATTGCTATGTGTACTGATATATATTAATTTGTTTTAGGTAACTGTTCTGAACCCAGCCAATGCTATCATGATTCAAACATGGCTTGCAAGGGACCGGGTCGATGTAACTATCAACATAAAAGCCTGTTTTGCGACTGTGCGGACAATGGATACACAGGCGAATTGTGCGAAACAAGTAAATATTATATGATTAAAGATAAAAATCAATAATATTGTCAAATGCCCATTTTTATTATATCATCATGATTATTATCATTATTATTATTATTATTATCATTATTATTATTATTATTATTATTATTATTATTATTATTATTATTATTATTTTCAAAAAATTTACAATCTAGATGTCGTGTAACATGTTTTCATATAGATTTTAGACGAAATCAAGTTGTCGCGTTGAAATCTCGTACACGTGTTTTTGAAATTTTGTACATTTGTTATATCGATGTCGCTTTTTATTCCCGTTACATATTCCATAGAAAATATGAATATAGAAAATTTGAAAAGAGCATTCCTGTAAAATAAAGTATAAGGTAATTGTTAAGACTAGAAATGAAACAAGAGCTGACCGTAAGACAGCGCGCTCGATTATGCATAACTCTGTAAAAAGGTAACTCAGAGTAATGGGGCCTTTGTTAATCGTGTTTAATAATCACAGATAATAAATGTGAGACTATAAGAATCTTACACCGGCTGCCGGTACAGACCGGAATATCTAGCTCGAGGGTAACTGTTTACGGCGGTAACGAGGCTCTGCCGAGTTTCCGCTAAACAGTTACCCGAGAGCTAGATATTCCGGTCTGTACCAACAGCCGGTGTTTGATTCTTTTTCTTGCATATTACATGTCAATTATTTTCGGAAAAGAAATTATGAAAACGGATACTCTCATTACGCACTTTTTTCTTATAGTAGCGTATGAACTTACAACTTCATTCATAACGGAAAAATGACGTCATCCTAAGAACGCGATTCATTCATAAAAGGCTCGCGTCAATGACGTCATTTAAAACACGCGACTTGTCTTACATGGGGGTGTAAGACAGAGTTTTCTAGCACCGGTGTAAACGGTAGATAATCCTGTCTGACATGCAAGAAATTTCGTCCCATTCTCTTAATTACTGATGGAGATGATATCCTGCAAGCAAAACTTAACCATGACCACGCCAACTCCAGGAAGAGCACGAATTTAAGCTCTCCCGATTATTCGAATAGTCGAACTAATATTGAAATATCTTGAACAATTAATATATTTTCTGCAGTGTCATTTGTTAATATGAAATAGAGATACATTGTTAAAACGAAAATGTGCATATTCGGATAAACGTCTTCTTTACTGTAAATAGATATTGATGACTGTGTCACAAGCCCATGTAATAATGGTGGAACTTGTGTTGATGGTATCAAGAATTATACTTGCACGTGTCCACCGGATACGACTGGTTTAAAATGTGACCGTAAGTACGAATGAACAGATTGTTAATTGAATATTCATTTAACTTTAACCTTATTTTTTTAACATGGGGACATTTTGGATTAGCCCAATATGCCATATCAATGTGAAATATTCCTAAAAGTTTGCCTAGGTTTTGTGTCTGGTTGTCTTTAAAGGCCCATTATGCACCAGAAATGCTAACATTATTATTTCTCAAAAACATTTTAGTTTAGTGTCTTGGTAAAGTTTTCAATCATCTGAACTATCTTTTTTGCTTCAGTTGCCATAGCGTAATTATTACAGTAATAATGATTTAGGATTTAGTACTGAAGTCAACATACCACTTTCTTTACATTTTGGTACTTTTATAAAAAATTATTTCACATTTAGCTCTACATTATTCAGATGATAAGCATATATCATGCTCTAATAAAATTATTCAAATGTTATAAAGCAGATGTTAAATTTTGTCCTTTCTAAGAATGGAAGTACCCATTCGTTTCGAAAGCAGAATGTTCCTTTAAAATGTCTTAAAAAGTCATTAAAGGGTTAAATACAGCGTTTATCGTGCTAATTCCAATGGAAAGGTTTCTTGCGACCCTATATTTTTCAGTTTTGATTGAATCTTTATAAAAATGTTGTCTAATCCATTGTTTCCAATACATATTTTGCCCATGTGTAAAGTCGTTAAGAGAGTGCCTATAGATGTATGTTAACTTTTGTGATTGTAAAATTATTCTTAAGAGAACAAACAATATTTAACATAGCCGTACAATAAATATTAACATGCATATAAAGGCAAATCCCTTATTACACAGTTGGTAGCACTGTTTAAATATGGTGAACTTTTCTGATAGTATTGCATAAAATTATGCAATACCCTTTAAACAGTGAAAATCTTTTATCCTAATACATTATACATCTTGAAGGACAATTCAAAAGAAAAGTGTTCATAATTTGCTCATTTAGTATATTTTATTTTATTGTCACTAGGTATTGATGACTGTGAAACAAATCCATGTATTAATGGTGGCACCTGTATTGACGGTATAAATGATTATACGTGCACCTGTCCACCAGATGCCACTGGTACAAACTGTGAACGTAAGTAATAATATCGAAATAATATATCCAAATCGGTGATTTTATCGCAGTTTGGCGTTCGGATGCGCATCATTATATCACTCGGTCTACGCCCTCGTGATACACAAAACACAAATGTATAATTCCTCGCATCCGAATTCCAAACAGTGATTTTATTGTGCGATAAAAATCACTGTCGGGGATTAATTTTTTCTTAAATATATATGAAGACACAGACTTTACCCTGTTACTAACAGGGTCATATTTTGCATAAACCTTATGAAATCTTGTCTGTAAAATTGTATTAATATTGACATATCTTCAGAAGTGTCATTTGTTGATATGAAAAAGAACGAAAGTGCGCATATTCGGATTAACGTCTTTTACTTAAGTTATAGATATTGATGACTGTGCTACAAACCCATGTAATAATGGTGGAACTTGTGTTGATGGTATAAATGATTATACTTGCACGTGTCCACCGGATACTACTGGTTTAACCTGTGAACGTAAGTACGAATGAACAGATTGTTAATGGAATATGCATTCAACTTTAACCTTAGTTTTAAACATGGGGTCATTTTTGGTAAGGTGATTATGTCATATCAATGTGAAATCTTCCTAAAAGTTTAAATTTGCCTAGGTTTTGCGTCTGGGTGTCTTTAAAGGCCCATTATGCCCCAGAAATGCTAACATTTTTATTTCTCAAACACATTTTAGTTTGGTGTTTTGGTAACGTTTTCAAAAAGGTTACTCATTTTACCAAACATCTGAACTTTTTTTTGCTTCAGTTGCTTTTAGTAGCGCAATTATTACAGTAATAATGATTTAGAATTTAGTACTGAAGTCAAAATACTACTTTCTTTACATTTTAGTATTTTTATGATAAATAATTTCACATTTAGCTCTACTTTATTCAGGTGATAAGCATATATCATGCTTTAATAAAATTATTCAAATTTTATAAACCGGGTGTTAAACTTTGTCCTTTCTAAGAATGGAAGCACCAATTCGTTTCGAAAGCAGAATGTTCCTCTAAAAGTCACAAAAGGGTAATGTCTTAAAAAGTCATTAAAGGGTTCACCGTTGAATACAACGTTTATCACGCCGAATCCAAGGGAAAGGTTTCTTGAGACCCTATTTTTTTTCAGTTTTGATTGAATCTTTATAAAAATGTTGTCTAATCCATTGTTTCCAATACATATTTTGCCCATGTGTAAAGTCGTTAAGAGAGTGCCTATAGATGTATGTTAACTTTTGTGATTGTAAAATTATTCTTAAGAGTGCAAACAATATTTAACATAGCCGTACAATAAATATTAACATGCATATAAAGGCAAATCCCTTATAACACAGTTGGTAGCACTGTTTAAATATGGTGAACTTTTCTGATTGTATTGCATAAATTATGCAATACCCTTTAAACAGTGAAAATCTTTTATCCTAATACATTATACATCTTGAAGGACAATTCAAAAGAAAAGTGTTCATAATTTGCTCATTTAATGCATTTTATTTTATTGTCATTAGGTATAGATGACTGTGAAACAAATCCATGTATTAATGGTGGCACCTGTGTTGACGGTATAAATGATTATACGTGCACTTGTCCACCGGATGCCACTGGTGTGAACTGTGAACGTAAGTAATAATATCGAAATAATATATCCAAATCGGTGATTTTATCGCTGTTTGTCGTTCGGATGCGCATCATTATATCACTTGGGCTACGCTCTCGTAATATAATTCCTCGCATCCGAATTACAAACAGTGATTTTATTGTGCGATAAAAATCACTGTCGGGGGACGGGGATATATTTTTTCTTAAATATATATGAAGACACAGACATTACCCTGTTACTAACAGGGTCATATTTTGCATAAACCTTATGAAATCTAGTGTCTGTAAAATTGTATTAATATTGACATATCTTCAGAAGTGTCATTTGTTGATATGAAAAAGAATGAAAGTGCGTATATTCGGATTAACGTATTTTACTTAAGTTATAGATATTGATGACTGTGCTACAAACCCATGTAATAATGGTGGAACTTGAGTTGATGGTATAAATGATTATACGTGCACGTGTCCACCGGATAAGACTGGTTTAAACTGTGAACGTAAGTACGAATTAACAGATTGTTAATGGAATATTCATTCAACTTTAACCTTAGTTTTAAACATGGGGTCATTTTGGGGTTAATTAATGTGAAATCTTCTGTAAATACATATTGCCTCCCTCTCCAAATCGGACCGTTTGTTATTTTGTTTTTTTTGCACAAGGTTAAATTACCGGTCAGTTATACCCTTCTTGTTTAGTCAAAGGAAACTACATATACCTACATGATAATGCTGAAAGATATAGTATGCTCTTTATTGATTGATTAATGATTTTATATAAATACATATTTTTAAAGATACAGATCTTTTCTTCAGCTGCTATACATTGATTCGTGTTAATAAACATATTTATAAATTTAGTGTTGTCCCAAAAGGAATTTTGGTAAGCTAAACATATAGTTTGGTCATAGATTTAAAGAGATACTCAGGCAAATAAATGACAAAAATACGATTTAATGTACTCAAACCACGCTAAAGTGACATTTTTTAAAGTCCCAGCATGAATATCTGTATAAATTCTACATATTTTGAGTTAGATATATTAAACGAAATTTAGACGCCGACAGAATCACAGAGTAGTTTTAAAACAAGCCATGTGACTTGAAAAATCCTGAAAGTTACAATAAAAGATATTGTGGAAAATATATGATTGAAACAAGTCTTATCATTCATTTGAGATTTTCTTTAACGTTTCCAGAGTTCATTGTGACAACTATTGTAACCTCTCAACGCTCTAACCTGACCCACGTGGGTCAAGTTAGGAAACCACCATTTTATTATTTACAAGGAGTAAAGTTTTGTTCCTATGACTGCCTAGTGTATTTATTTTTAGAACATTTACAGAATAATGAATGAAAAAATCAAAGCAAAGAAATGGACATTTTGCCTGTATCTCCCTTTAATAATTAAGTTACTACTATTTCATTAACAGTGACATTGACTTGCCCAGATGGTTGGATAATGTACAACTATGTCACCTGCCTCTTTTTTAGTACGGAACTTGAAACTTGGGAAAATGCGATTGTAAGTTTTACAAATGTGCACTTTGTATTTGTATATATATGAATTTCAAAAAAAAAACTAGTAAACTATTACATGTACACTAAATGTAACTTTATAATGTACCAGTTAATCGCAATACCAAACCCACAATGGAAGTGTTGGGGGAAAGCGAGGGAAACAAGATATTAATTAACAAACGTCTGTACGTGCATTGACAATGTGCTGCTTTTGGTCAAAGTCGTAGCGCCTTGGAATGGATTGTAGTCTTTTGCGAGAATTGTACCATTTGACAATTCTAGCAATGCCTAAAGATTTGACAATGCAAAAGTTTGTCCCCGTTTAAACTGGCAGCTGTTACTACCAAAACATAGACCCTGGTAATAAGTATTGTATGAGATTTAAAAATCTTACATTGAAAAATACTAAACAATTGTTTTATCAATTGCAACTTTCAAGGTTTTCTGCCGGAGTAAGATCGTGCATTACTATTAACAAGATCCACGCCTGAGTAAACCCATCTTCCGCAGCAAGGCTCGATGGCTCGCTCGCATTAAACAAATCATCCTCTGGATAGACGCAAACCCACGGCTGTAAATTATAACATATAATATACAATATTATTTGACTGATTACATGGTCGTATTCAATTAACCCGATGCAAGCAGGTTTTTCACAGTATCGTACACAGCTTGGAGATACTTTGTTGACAAATGAATGAAACAGAATAAAATTGAAGTCTTACAAATTGAAATGAATATGGATTTAGATGCATGCTCACATATGTCTTTTTGACCATAAAATTGTCAAACATTTGCAGGATGCATGTCAGTTAGAAGGCGGTGCATTAGCTGAAATACACGATGCTGACAAAGATACATTTATCTCTCAAGCAGGAACACGTAAGCTTCCATAAATACTTCCTCCCCACTAGCTTACTATGTGAATCGTACACGGGCTGCCGGTGTAACGAAGTAAAGTGACCCCTAATAGAATTATGACCCGACAGGAAGCCTACATATATACACTTGAACTTTAGATTAACAAGTTTACGTTTAATGTTGGGACAACATCAGCAGCTTATAGTAGTTAATAATCTGTTATATTTCACGCTTTCAGTATTTAATGTAATTTATCATGCAACTGCCATGGTAACTGCCCGATAACACTTGCCTGATAATTATTTTTGATATCAGGTCAGTAACCTGATATCAAAAATAAGCCACGCCCATTTTAACGGACTTTTTCAATTGCTTATATTCTCATTTTTATCAGTATGTGAATTCTTCAATGTAATCTCATACCCTTACAAGTCTTCAATCAAGATGCGATATTTATTTATTTATCATTTCGATTTCGATTTCAATTACGAATAAAATAGATAACGAATAGTTTTAGCACCAACTACATGAAGTGACGTCATAATTTATATTGCAAATGACATCATCAATGTTCACGTCATACTATATTGTACATGTAATCATAACAAACAGGCTAGATGATTTTATTTGAGAACTTGTGAATGTTTACCTATTTCGCCGGATTATTTAATACGTGAACAAATTGTTTCGTTTAAAAAATAAAACGCATGTTTGTGTAGCGTGTGTTTGATTGCCGATTTGACTTTTGTTTGATTGAAATTATTGTGAACTTTTGAATTTGTCAATTCAAGACAAAAAGTGCAGTAAAGTTTATAAATGTGATTCTAAGGGAATTTTTGGATCGAAGTTTAGATTAAAGGTAAAAATTTTATCGTGTTAGGCCTACATTCTGTTGTATCTTTTATCCGAGTCGAAAGAAAAAATGGCCGCCATTTACAAATTCTAAGTTTCAGGGGCGGAGGAATTTGTTTTCAAGAATTATTTCTTTGAACAATAATCCCCTTGTTTTACGAAATTCGCTATTTTAAAGTAGATTATTTTGTTATTTTGACAGTTTTTATGTGTTACATGATAAATAGAAAAACATGCTAAAGTCTAGCTCGAGGGTAACTATTCACGGCGGTAAAGAGATCATGTTTTTATATATAGAAATTATGAAAAGTAATATTTTCATTTAGCACTTTTTTCTTAAAGTAACATATGTATACCACGCGAGGTGGTGTAAGACGGGGAGGGGGATCTGTATCAACGGTGAAAACAGTAGATATTCACGTTTGATATGCAAGGACATTAAGAATTTTTCCCTTCTCCGCCGGTGCAGACTGGAATTCATGTTTAGGGGGGAACTTTTTTAGGAAATATAACGATGACAAGTTTTCGCCAAACAGTTCCCAAAAGACCCGACTTTTCTGGATAGTAAACCGATAATTACCATTTACTCTGCAAGTGTCCAGTTACTTATCCATCATGATTAAAGAGACAATTTTTTTTTAATTTTTATACTGTTGTTTTTGTAGAAAATTATTATTGGCTTGGAGCATACGACATGGCTGGTGACGGCACCTTCGAATGGATTTCTGGCACACCATGGGACTATACCAACTGGTTGCAACAGGTTCCTGATGCTGGCAACGATTGTTTGACCTTTTACCGTGATATTTCTAACTTTTTCGGTTGGATTAACCAATTATGTCATGTCCCTGTTTGGTACATTTGCGAGAAAAACCCCACTGGTTAGTAAATTCATGTAAGTCTCTATTTTTAATATACATGTACTTACAAGTAAGTAAGTAAGTTAGTAAAGTAAGTAAAGTAAAGTAAGTAAGTAAGTAGGTAAGTACGTAAGATAAGATAAGGTAAGATAAGATAAGAAATTAAGTAAGTAATTTTTTGTATTATTTGATTTGGGTTTTAGTCACACCGATGCAGTTTACCGGTATGTCATTTGGCGACGTTTCTTTACTGGTGGAGGAAGACCTCAGGTGCCCCTCCATGCATTTTTTTCAGGCACGAACGGACACCTGAGTAGAACCACCGACGTTCCGTAAGCTAGCTGGATAGCTTCCTCACACGAAATAATCCAAAGTCCCTGTCGGGACTCGAATCCACAGCGGTGAGGGGCAAGTGGATTGAAGTCAACGACCTTAACCACTCGGCCACAGACGCCCCCAAGTAAGTAAGTAAGGGTAAGTAAGTAAGTAAGTAAGGTGAAGTAAAGTAAAGTTAAGTTATGTTAAGTTAGGTAGAGTTAAGTAAAGTAAAGTAAAGTACAGGTAAGTACAGTTAAGTTAAGTACAGTTAAACATGTAATTTAAGTAAAGTACAGCTAAGTAAAGTACAGTTAAGTACAGTACAGATAAGTACAGTTAAGTAAGTTAGTCAATCCAAGGGTCAGTACGCTTAGTATTAGTAAGTAACAGAAAGAGCATCGAAACACGAAGCTATCTGATATGTACCAGCGGCGAGCCCCCCCCCCCACTCGCTCTCTGCCCCGAGTATAAATCAAAATCAAATCGCCAAGTGTTTTGATGTGCTTCTTCTTTTGTATCATAGGCAAAAATAAAAACACGTTCCCTGTTGTCACACTATTAAACCCCAGAAAAAGTAACCAATGAACGAGTATCTGAATATGGTATTTCTATCGATTTCCCTTTCTCTGTCGTCACAATAAGCCAATCAATGGGCATGCTCTGGAGTGCTTCGTACATTCTGTCAATGAAATGACAAGCATATCTAACATTTGTTTTTATTTATTTTACAGAGCTACAAAAAGCAAACAAGAAGACCTTTTGAAAGATTAAAGCCTATGAACATGATTGTTTTGGAGAGCTACTATTCCATATATGTGAAAAAAGAAATTAAATGATAAGACAATTATAATAATATAATAAATAAATGAGCATGATTATAATTTCGTTTGTTTACTTTATATAATTTGAGTTGATAAAAAATTTTGTTTGTCGTACTAAGGAAGCGTGATTAGTTTTTACAACAATTCGTATTCGTTAAAGTCCTTGTAATCTTAGGAACTGACTGATCATTAATTATATAGAGGATATTTGTTTGGTTCGGTGTAAGATCGGAATTTATTACATGTTTTTCGGTGTTTTATAGAAATATATCCGTGAAATTAAAACTGATAATTCTCTGTTTGTAACAGTGAAATTATCAATTTGATATTTTTCACTGCTTTGAATTTAAGCCCGTTACGTTGTTTTAGTGAAATACCAGAGTGCGCAGTACTGGAAACCAACTTTATGATGCGACGTCGTAAAGGACGTCACGTTTTATTATTATTTTGCGCGTTTTCCATTTAGTATTTGTCTTTTCAAACGTTTATTTGCATACAATCAAACATTTTTAATCATATATTCTAAATGAAAATCGGGCCAAATTCAACGTGTGGTAATTTACGACGTCTCATCATTAATTTGGTTTTCAGTACTATACACGCTGGTATTCCTTATAAACAATGTAACTGGCTTTAATCTGCATGCCTCCGGATAAGCCAAATATTTCAATAAAGTCAAACCTGAGAAAAATGTTTTAAGATTTAGGGAAAAAAAAGATTCAAGATTTAATTAAAATTTTTCATGTAATGGGGGATTAATGATTGATTTTTCAGTATTTACAACGATATTTCTACTGCGTTTGACCTTATTTTAGTAATTTTCGCGGGTCGTGAGTGCTGTTTGTAATGTGTAGATTTATTTCTTTTTGGTACCCTTATATTTTTTAACTTTAAAAACATTTTTCATGAAAAATTTAAACAGTGAAATATCAGTTTATATTTCACTGATATATCTTTATAAACCACCGAAACGCATGTAATAAATAGAACATTATTTTCGTGTAAATTCAATACTAGATTTATTGAACTCGCTGAATAAATAAATTAATTCAATATCCTCTATCACATTTGCGTTATTAATAATATATTTAATATGATGCGGTTTAGATCGGAATATCAATAACTGCAATAACAATTGTAATAAATCTTATCAAACTTTCATAATCTAATTTCATGCTAGTCTCATTCTTGATCCTTTTGTTAGCCTTGTAATCACTTATAACGAACAGCGCAAATTAGACTTCCTTACACTTGGAAAAAATGTTCCAAAAGACCATCCGCATTTGGAGTATCCTACTAACTAACGGCAGTTATCCGTCATTTAAGTTAACACCATACATAAACACTTTTCATGATTTAATATTTCAATTTATTTTCCGATAAAATATACAATTTAAATGCACGAACAAACCTAATGTAATATGGATTTTAACATTCAACAGTCAATCTTTGCATAACTTTAGGTACCTAGTTACTTAACAAAGAGAGATATTTCAGACTTCGCGCTTAAATAAAATCGAAAATCTAATGAATTTATGCCAACTTTAAGACAGTTTGTCCACTTTTTCTAGATCGATTTTCCTTCTTTCTATCGGCCTTCTGTTTTCTTTTTTCCTTCTTATTAGAACCAGGTGTGGAAACCTTGTAAAGTTCCTCAACATCTTCGAGAAATGGGTCCTGATAAATTGAAAAAAAAATATTAAGAGGACATTGCTTTGATATAGAAACGTCAATGTTAATCATGCACATATGTTTACATATAATATTTAGTAAGATGCGTTTTGAGCATACACATTCAACTGAAAAACAAGTTATTGATAATGTTAAACTCTTGGTTCGAACCCTAGAAGGTTTGCTATCTTATAAGACGCCAGTACTAAAAGCTTCCAAGACACGGACACGAAAGCGATCAAAACAAGTAAGGATTTTTCACAACCGAACTCAATTAAATATGTTTAAATTGGCTTGAATATTTTCACAAAAAAAGTGATCGCAGTATCGGAACTGCATGAATGGTCTGAATGTTAGTACTGATATATTAATTTATTTCATGCTTTCCAGTGTTTTATTGTAATATATCAGATGATTATACTCTGATAAACCACTAGTGAAATTTATAAAATATAATTTTCACTGTAGCCGGACTATATCTGAATGCGGATGAAAAGAAAACCGGAACTAAATGGAATAACAGGCAGAAATAAATGCCGTCATACGTAAATTTTGCTTCTTTAGGAAAAGAAAGTCGATGTCACCATACATCATGTTAAAAATGTAACAAAAATTAGAGAAATTTAACAGAACTAAATTTCAAAACTGATGATGTGACGTCATGATGTGATGACGTCACAAAGGAGAATGCGCGACGTTACGCGGCAAAATCAGTTAAAAGTACTTAAAATCACTGAAAAAGCATGAAATAAAAAGAAAATTTATTTGTTTTACATATAAGATTGAAATATATTTCATTCGTGAACACCAGCTATTATATTTTCACTCGTGGCTACGCCACTCGTGAAAATATTGCATCTGGTGTTCACTCAGTGAAATTATATTTCAATCTTACATGCAAAACATACAAATATCCTCTATATAATTTCATTCAGATAATTTTACAACGAACACATTATTAAAAATAAATCACCTATTTACGGAACCACTTATCAAGTATATTTGCTGCAAATCAAATAAAAATGTAAATGAGATAATATCATAATAACTTACATCTACTCTCTTTATCTCATCTGGAACAAGATGAAATTCTCTATCGTCCAGGACTTGTGGTTGATCAACTGCATTCATAACAGCGGGTGATGGTGTCGTCGCATTCTCCGTTTCTTCTTTTTCAGCGACAATTTCCACCTTATCATCGACTTCTTCGTAGTCATCAATTTCTGCGAGGTACTCGTCTATCATTGTCTCGAAGTCCCTATTTTCTTTTTTAGCCATGAGATGTTTATTCGCTTGTCCTTTCGTCTTTACCTTCTCTCTTTTCCCTGTTCGCAGCTTCTTTCTATCAGGTTTCTCACCATAGCTAGGTTCAACGACACATCGTCCATAATCAACCGTTGCCTCTGTCTCAATATAAACTGGTTGTACCTCTCCTGCTTTAGGAACATCTACTTTAACGTAGTCTGTAGCATTAGTTAGCTGCGAGCCAGATTTTGGAGTGTTGCCGGTTTTTGTTGTAACAGTGTCCGGTTCAACTGTGACTAACACGGGTTCATTCTCTTGTTTTGCAAAACTTCTAGTTCTGCGCCGTGCATGCTTTATTATTCTTTCCCGAGTGACAGCAGGTCTTGAAGCGCCTACAAAGTATGCATTAAACATATTATTTCAATTTTATGCTATATTTTTGCATAAATATATGTCATATAAACATTAACGACCTAAATGAAAACATCCGTCTTGTAAACGACTGTATTCCGAAATGGTTCAGATGACACAATACAATTATGGTGTGGTATAATAGTATATAGTTTCGACAGGGAATGTAATATAGCGATTATTATTGAACAATATTAAGTATTTGACTCTCACGGACTCTACTGGGACGGGTCACACTCGATGCTCTTGCATAGGTAAATCCAGTAAATTTAAAAAAACAAAAAACAAAACAACATCCAAATCATGATACAGATGATTTTTGTTTAGTTCAGTGTAAGATCGGAATCGTGGCTGCGCCACTTTTTTGCCGGCGCTCACCGTGAAATATATAAACTAAATTAAGTCAACAACATGTTGCACGCCTACGTTAATTCGAATTTACAGAATTTACAGAACTATATTAAATACATGGCCAATTCAAACTGGCCTCAAGGGTGAGTGAACGTGACTTTTGTTATACTGTCACGATGTAGTACGCGTTGGTTCGTTACCAACGATACGAGAGGCATCTGCATGAAATAGATTACTAGTAACTAGAAAGATGATCACTGATCACATTTTACCTTTATCTTCAATAAGATCAAAATCGTGTTGTGCCTTGCTGTGTTTCACCTCAGTTTCACCACTTGCATCACCATTTACCGGTAGTTTTGCTGTTCTTGTTTCTTTGGTCAAAGGAACAATAGACGACTTTCTAACTGACGGTTTGTCTGAAAAATTATATTGTGTGTCTGAAAAAGGGTGTTTATTACATGCTTTTCGGTATTTTATAGAAATATATAGGTGAAATAAAAAAACAACTCGTGAACACTCGTAAAAAACTCGTGAACACCAAAAGGTTATATTTCATTCGTGGCTGCGCCACTCGTGAAATATACTTTTTGGTGCTCATTTGGTGAAATATATTGCGATCTTACACTGAACTAAACAAATAGCCTCTATGTTTTGTCTTGGAAGGCAACATGTATCTTTTGACGGAAATTGTGAAACTGTATTGTTTATCTAAAAAAATGCGTACTGTAGGTATATGAGTTATGTCATTCGTTCAATTACAAGAGTTCAAGACTGACAAACTATGACGCTTACAACTGAAAGACTTTCGCGATTTTATGATACAGAAAGCAAATAAACAAATGTTTTTGTTGTAGTTGTGTTTTTTGTATGACGGTTGGAAAAAAGAATACGGAAATATATTTTAGAAATACATACAAATTGACTTGATTTGTCTGTTCTGCATTTGCTTTGCCGACCCTGCTTTAGTACAAGATTTGCTAAGCGTTTTTGGTCGTACTATTGGTGAACTGACTGACCAGTCAGAGCTATTGCCGTTGCTTTCCGGTCCCTTGTTCTTTGAAGAATGTGGGGAATATTTCTTTTTCAGATTGGAATAAGCATCGTCTGTAAAAGAAATAGAAGAACTTTGATTGGCAGCCTTGTGTTTGTTTCGTGAAACATTGATTTCTGTACAGATCGCAGAGAGCCTCCTTGCTACATACACCGCGTTTGAACGTGGTGACAAGTCCTCCACTACATCGTCCAAACAATCACCAGCTTCTACTGAAATACGATCGTGGATTATTGCTTTGACAAAATGGTCTGGTAACTTGCTTGCCTGTAGTATAATACTGAGAAGATCAATAATATTTCCATCCTGTATGATCCGGATATAGTCAGGGAGATAATATTTGTAACCTTTGCTAGTCTTTAATGCATTATTTATTGCATTGCTAAAGTTACTTTCCTTGATGATGTCTATGTACTTCCTATATCTCTCAACACTGTTAGCAGTTTCATCGGCAATGCCGTCAAACACTGGAGTGAATTCTCCGTTACCAAGAAAAGCTAGGTATTCGTTGACAGAGTATATCTCACCATCACCGGCCTTATATATGTCTTTTAGAAAAATCAGAAATCTTTTATTAAGTATCATCGAGATATAGTCTGTCAGCTTCGTCATACATCCATCAGACGCATAAAACACATCTTCTATAAACGCGGAATATGCAGCATCACATGGCTGTTCAGTGTGAGTCGACGTTTCTACATCGGTATCAGTTATCTGGTATTTTGTTAGGTCTGCAATATCTTTCGTAACCGTAACCGACTCAAAGACCTCCTGTGAAAGCGTCAGCTTTTCACCATCGAATGAGGATATTATTATATCGTTGGATGATTCCTTACTTTCTGAAAATTTAAATTCAATAGCCTTACTGTTCACTAATTTGTTGATTTCATTAAATAATTGTTTAGCTTCCTCGTGTGAAAACGTCTTTTTGCAATATAGGAATTCAACAAGAGGGTTTTCTTTGTCCTCACACAATAAATCGTTTGGCAGACGCTCGAATTTTATCCAATTACCTTTTAACATAAAGTAAACATAATAAAGATCTTCATTTGGATAATCCCTCTCGTCTATTGAACTCTTTTCTGGAGAGATATTGTAAATATTGTCACTTTTAGGAGAGTTATTATTCAGCTCTGAACTGTATATATCTTTTATTGGCTGAATCAATATTCCTAGGGTATCAAGTGAACACAGACTTGACTCTTGACTTTCGACAGTATCTATGGTCTTTTTGCCAACGGCAATTTGTGGGTTATTTGGAACGTTCATGACCGTATCACCGTCCAGCCATTTTGCAATAACATTACTGGTCGTATCATTGGTAAGACATAATTTAAAACTTTCGTCGGTAATTTTCTTTAACTCTGTCCATACTGTCGTCAATTTGCTAATACTGGAGTCTGTGTCATCTAACAGATGCTCTATATCACCGCTACTTAAAGATGAACAACTCTCCGACATTAATACTAATCCTTCATTCTGGTCCGCCTCATTTTCCGCTTCAGCTGAATTCTCTATTCTTACCACCTGTTCGACGTTTTGTACAGTTAATGGAACCTCAACATCAGCAACATATATTTGAAGGATGTTTCTAGGCGTTCTGTATATGCGCGGCTCTTCATTTGATGCATTATGAGATGCCATCATCATATTACAAATGCTTTGTAGTGTTCTATCGACATCTTTGACTAACTCGACATCTTTCCCTGACCTGTTTTCAGCGTCTGGTCTAGCGTCTTTACTTGCTAAGTTGGCGTGGCTTGGTGAAATATCTTCTGTAATATCCGATATGATATTTGTTATTGCCCGAAAAGGTGGTACAAGTCTTCTTCTTTCACACTTTACTTTTCTAGTAAGGTAATGACGATTATAGTCATTACCTCCATTAACCAGTAGTTAACAATAAATTTTAGTCTCTACATAAGTTCAAAATGTCTATATCTTAACAAATGTCATGGTCGACTTTCAGAGAGAAGTGTATAAATTTCCAAGCCCTCTTTCCCCGCATTTATTGGCTTGTGAGATATACTGTTACGATTCACTATAATACTTTAATATCTAGAGCAGTCTATTATAGCACAGATATTTTTGTACAAATTCGTATGAAGTTATATATAAAGAAGCATGCCTCCAGATTCATGCTAATTTTTATGACAAATTTAAATGTGTATTTAAAAGTAAAATATTGTGAAGTGTACAACAAAGTTTTTTACCACTAAGCAGACAACACTTTCAATTCACGTAAATTACCAAATAATATAACAACACAATATTTAAATTTCTATGTCACTTAGTCACTTAAAACAGACAAATATGCAAAAGATGATTTAAAAAATGTACTCAGATATCTATTAAAAAAAACTATTTTTTTTTATCTTATTGTTTGCCCGATTTGAGTTAAAAGCGTTGCAACGCTTTTCAATTTTGATCATTTTTTTACAATTAGAATAGTTATTTTGTAAAAACTGAGTGAGCGAATGATTCTAAATTTTGCACACAAGTTATTGGTCTAGATCTACATCAAATGGGAGATTAATCACGAAAATTTATTTCCAGTCCCGTTGTATAAAATAACCTAAGTGAAGTCCCTTTAAATCAAAATAGTGCTAAAAGCGAAATATGAGGAGGCATTCCATGCGCAACCACGCATCCTATTGATCATAACCTTCTAATTTACGGAAAGTTCCGGAAAGTTTCAACTCCTGAAGTGGTTAAATATTAGATTATCAGAGTGCTCAATGACATCATAAACTTTACAAATCTTTTTTAACTATAAAAACACAAAACTGAGGTCATGATTATACATTTTGTTTGTATTTCATGTAAAATTTTCGACTCTACTGACCGACAAAAAATAGGAATACATGTAGTTATAAAAATGCATGTTCTTTTGTTTTGACATACCTGAATTTCTTTCGCGGATGTTCTTCTCCTCGTCTCTTATTTTATCATCGTTTTCAACAGATAAATCTCGGCCTGGTGTGCAGCACATTGTGAAAGTCTTTCGGATTTTACTCGTCACATTAAATCCTTTCGTTTTTCGTGGCAACTTCCGTTTGACTGGTTCCACTTCATCGTTGTGGCGTTCAGCCTGTTTCAAAATTTGCAGGCAATAATTAAAATGATAAAATTATTGACACTTTTAACGTGTTCTAGTAAAACATTAATGCCAATAAGACGTGAGACATGGTGATAAACCGGGCATGCATGTGAAGAATCACTTTAAATATAAGTTAGCTTTTTACAGTCCAAGATTATCAACAGTCTTAAGTTAAAATAAATTACAGAAATATTTAAAGGATTGTTAGGGAGATAACTAGATATTCATAGTAGTAGTGGTAGTGGCAGTGGTAATGGTCGTGGTAGTGGTAGATCTAGTAGTAATAGCAGCTAGAACAACAACAATCATTACCACCACCATCTTTATCATCATATCATCATCATCATCATCATATCATCATTACATCATCATCATCATCAATTATAATAATCATCACCTTTATCATCCTTTACCATTAATCTCATTATTTTAATAAACATGTATATAGGATAATCAAACGCGCAGTACCTTTAGAGGCACATTATCAAAATTATGCCTCTGAAATGAATTCATTTTTTTAATTCTGTCAAAAGTGGAAAAATGAGTTTTAAAAAAGTTGTAGTAATGGATTAAGAACACGTGAGATGTTCATCACCTGATGCAAATACCATTAAATGTAAACTGATTTATGATAAAGGGGGTCTCACTAAAAAGCGTCCCGAAGGATTTTAGCGTCCTGAAGCGTCCCGAAGCATTATTGTTAATTTAAACAGCCAGAAGGGTTATATTTATTGTAAATGAGCTATATTATTATGTACTGAGGTATTTATGGTAGAAAAAAATATTCTTACTTATCATTTTTTTCTATTTATATAAAAAAACCTAACATACCTTCGACTCCAGTTCACTTGCTCAAAAACCACCGTATACCGACAAAGCGTCCGGAAGGTTTAATGTTTATCTAAACCAAAATTATTTTTGAAATACTTCGTAAATTTTAGTTAATGAAATAGTAATATAAGTAACAATAGCGAGAAAAAATGTTTTCCATACATAAAATTATCTTTATAGTGCCCGAAATCGTACATCTATCCACGCATAGTTTCAAGTCGCTTACTGACTAACATAGCGTCCCGAAACGTATTCATGGTTTTTATTTTTATCTAAGCAAAGATAAATCGTAATTAAGTTCTTTTATGATATGTGTAAGTGACATTAAAAAGGAAATAAACATTTCATCCACAAAATATTATTTTACAGCGCGAAAACTGACGTTTCCCATGTTGCGCTAACAAAGCGTCCCGAAGAATTTAGCGTCCCGATATGTCATGAAGCGTCCCGAAGCATTATTGTTAATTTAAACAGTCAGAAGGGTTATATTTATTGTAAATAATGTATATTATTATGTATTGAGGTATTTGTGGTAGAAAAAAATAATCTTACTTATCATTTTTTCTATTTATATAAAAAAAAACCTAACATACCTTCGACTCCAGTTCACTTGCTCAAAAACCACCGTATACCGACAAAGCGTCCGGAAGGTTTAATGTTTATCTAAACCAAAATTATTTTGAAATACTTCGTAATTTTAGTTAATGAAATAGTAATATAAGTAACAATAGCGAGAAAAAATGTTTCCCATACACAAAATTATCTTTATAGCGCCCGAAATCGTACATCTATCCACGCATAGTTCAAGTCGTTTACTGACTAACATAGCGTCCCGAAACTTATTCATGGTTTTTATTTTTATCTAAGCAAAGATAAATCGTAATTAAGTTCTTTTATGATACGTATAAGTGACATGAGAAAGGAAATAAACATTTCATCCACAAAATATTATTTTACAGCGCGAAAACTGACGTTTCCCATGTTGCGCTAACAAACTGACAAAGCGTCCCGAAGAAATTAGCGTCCCGAAATGTCATGAAGCGTCCCGAAGCATTATTGTTAATTTAAACAGTCAGAAGGGTTATATTTATTGTAAATAATGTATATTATTATGTATTGAGGTATTTGTGGTAGAAAAAAATAATCTTACTTATCATTTTTTCTATTTATATAAAAAAAAACCTAACATACCTTCGACTCCAGTTCACTTGCTCAAAAACCACCGTATACCGACAAAACGTCCGGAAGGTTTAATGTTTATCTAAACCAAAATTATTTTGAAATACTTCGTAATTTTAGTTAATGAAATAGTAATATAAGTAACAAAAGCGAGAAAAAATGTTTCCCATACACAAAATTATCTTTATAGCGCCCGAAATCGTACATCTATCCACGCATAGTTCAAGTCGTTTACTGACTAACATAGCGTCCCGAAACTTATTCATGGTTTTTATTTTTATCTAAGCAAAGATAAATCGTAATTAAGTTCTTTTATGATACGTATAAGTGACATGAAAAAGGAAATAAACATTTCATCCACAAAATAGTATTTTACAGCGCGAAAACTGACGTTTCCCATGTTGCGCTAACAAACTGACAAAGCGTCCCGAAGAAATTAGCGTCCCGAAATGTCATGAAGCGTCCCGAAGCATTATTGTTAATTTAAACAGTCAAAAGGGTTATATTTATTGTAAATAATGTATATTATTATGTATTGAGGTATTTGTGGTAGAAAAAAATAATCTTACTTATCATTTTTTCTATTTATATAAAAAAACCTAACATACCTTCGACTCCAGTTCACTTGCTCAAAAACCACCGTATACCGACAAAGCGTCCGGAAGGTTTAATGTTTATCTAAACCAAAATTATTTTGAAATACTTCGTAATTTTAGTTAATGAAATAGTAATACAAGTAACAATAGCGAGAAAAAATGTTTCCCATACACAAAATTATCTTTATAGCGCCCGAAATCGTACATCTATCCACGCATAGTTCAAGTCGTTTACTGACTAACATAGCGTCCCGAAACTTATTCATGGTTTTTATTTTTATCTAAGCAAAGATAAATCGTAATTTAGTTCTTTTATGATATGTGTAAGTGACATTAAAAAGGAAATAAACATTTCATCCACAAAATATTATTTTACAGCGCGAAAACTGACGTTTCCTATGTTGCGCTAACAAAGCGTCCCGAAGAATTTTTTTTTTGAATTGCGCAATAGTGCCTTTTTTCCACATTCAGTTTTTTATCGTCGTGTATTTTAATGATTTTTTATTTAACGATTAGCGTCTGCTTCTTAGCTTTAACGATATAAGCATGCATATAGTATATATAGCAGTAATTACCTAAGTCTCTTTATTCGTTGAATTGTTACTAAAGTCTTTTATAACTCAACATATGAGTGGCAATGTACTTTTTAAATCATGTTATATGTGTTCTATGTATATTGTTGTATATTGTTGGGAAAGTCCATTAAAAGGGAAAATTCTGCATATTATCCGAAAACGAAAGTGTCAACAACTAGATTAGAGCCGCGCCATGACAAAACCAACATAATGGGTTTGCGACCAGCATGGATCCAGACCAGCCTGCGCATCCACACACATGCTGTGCGCTATCAGATTCTCTACTTGTTATAGGGTATGTAAGCGAACAGCATGGATCCTGATCAGACTGCGTGGATGCCCAGGCTGGTCTGGATCCATGCTGGTCGCAAACGCATTACATTGGTTTTGTCGTGACGCGACTCATATAGTTTAATTCTAACATCGTGATAGCTCAGGTGGTAAATCAACGTCACTGTTACTTTAAATGATTTGAACTAATAGGTTCGTAACCTACGCACGGCTTGTTATTATGATGTTGTTGTTAATGTGTTTCTCCCTTTTTATTTACTGTGTCTTTTGTTTGAATACATTTTCAAATCTATGAATGACATTCCAATAATACATTTCACATCATTCTAGGAATGAAATTCTTTATAGTTGTAGATAACTGTTATGCACGACTTTCACGTGCAAATTTAAATGTCGAACTATACATACATACGCATGCATGCATCACATCATTCTAGGAATGACATTCTTTATAGTTGTAGATGTTGTTGTCATGCAATGCTTGCATATATATGTATATATGTTTATGTTGATTATATGCTATAAACATTGTATAATGTTTCAGGCAATAAAATTTGAAATTGGAAAAAAAAATTATATTCTAATGTATATAATTGAACGAATTAACAAGAGACTATCTAAGGAGTAGGTATGCTATTTTTCACACTTACGGCTGTATACAAATCGTGATTGATATATAATTACTTCAGGCACTATTTATGCAGGTAGGTGTTACATTGTGTTAACAGTTTACTTCATTCAAACATTAAAATATGACATTTTCAGCTCAGTTTAGATGTTTATAAACTACTAGTTATTGCGTACTGATTACAGTCTGACTTACAATGGCTAAAGTCGTACTATTTGGTGACAGTTATATCAAACGTCTTCACTATCACTGTGCCGAAGATCCACTGTTAATACCAGGGCACGTGCATTGGTGTTTTAAAGGCGGTCTAAGAACCGACCATATGGACCATGCCCTATTCTCGTCTGCTGCGCCAAAACGCAGATGTTGTAGTTCTGAATGTAGGCGGTAATGACATAACAGCAACATCATTCCCGAACGAATTTGTCAGTAGAATCCAAATTCTTGTGGATAATTTACAGGCCTCTGGGGTTAAAAAAGTTTATATCTGTGAAATTTTGACCACAGGCGAATTTTCTAAAGCACCGGGTTTGACAAATAAAAAAAAAAGGTTTAAAAATTATCATACGATTTTGAAATTTTACATTTTTTAGTGTTAAGATATCACAGAAAACAACAAATATGTACTGTTATATACACAAAAATGTCTAAAAACTATTATATAACTTATTCACAGTTTACGAACGAATGTCCGGATATACAATGCAATAAACTAGGAAAGGCAGTTATCTGGACTCTTCGGTAATGCGTACACAACGGGGGGTGGATGGGGTGCGGTATCCATAGCGATTGCGGTTAATTTCCTCTATCGATAGATTACAATCTTTCACTCCGTTTACGGCTTAAAAAATTAGAAATACAATAATTAAAATTTAGACAATTTAAACAAATCATAATGATAATAGTCTTGTTAGGTGGGATGTCATGTATATTATTTATTAACTTGACAAAATGATATTAGGATTGCAATGAAATGAACACACTAATCAACAAAAGGAACGAGACAATGAATCACAAATCAATAATTATAGATTATAAGAACAGTGCTCGTGCACCTAAATGTATAATTACCTACAGTACATGCAAACCGGAAAAATGACACTGCCAGTCCGTGCATTCCATGAAATATTTATAAATACAAACATTAAAATTTTGCTTGTACATACATGTACATAAGTGTTATAGAAATATATAACCTTCTTATGGATAATACATAATGTCATGATCGGTACAATTTAGAATAAACAAGGATTTCAATAAGTTACCATTTATTTCAAATACTATCAGGGTTTTTTTCCGGACGTTTTGTTAGCGCGACATGGCTAACGTGAACCGATTAATATTATCCATAAAAACAAATGTTACTTGATAATGATTGTATTCGGCTATATACAATTTATTACAATATCAACTTTTTTTGGATTACAATAACATCTTCCGGACGCTTCCTAATTTTAGGAATATGAGAGCGTGTGATCAACTGCATGCGCACGTCCATGTCTACTTTAATCTTCTGGATATCAAATAATATTTGATAGAGAAGAACTGTCTTCCTGAATAATATCATCTAGAAAAAAAACAATATTTAAATGGATAGTGATTTCTTTTAATTATATCGATGTTTAAAGTGAAACTGCTTCGGGACGCTAAATTTGTTCGGGACGCTTTGTTAGCGCAACATGGGAAACGTCAGTTTTTGTGCTGTATAATGATATTTTGTGGATGAAAAGTTTATTTCCTTCTTTATGTCACTTACACATAACATAAAAGAAAAAAACACGATTTATCTTTGCTAAGATAGAAAAATACCATGAAGACGTTTGGGACGCTATGTTAGTCAGTTAGCAACTTGAAACATGCGTGGATAGACGTACGGTTTCGGGCGTAATAAAGATAATATAATTTTATGTATGGAAAACATTTTTCTCGCTATTGTTACTTACATTACTATTTCATTAACTAAAATTACGAAGTAATTCAAAATAATTTTGGTTTCGATAAACATTAAACCTGCCGGACGCTTTGTCGGTATACGGTGGTTTTTGAGCAAGTGAACTGGAGTCGAAAGGTATGTTAGTTTTTTTTTATATAAATAGAAAAAATGATAAGTAAGATTTTTTTTCTACCATAAATACCTCAATACATAATAATGTACATTATTTACAATAAATATAACCCTTCTGACTGTTTAAATTAACAATAATGCTTCGGGACGCTTCATGACATTTCGGGACGCTAAATTCTTCGGGACGCTTTGTTAGCGCAACATGGGAAACGTCAGTTTTCGCGCTGTAAAATAATATTTTGTGGATGAAATGTTTATTTCCTTTTTAATGTCACTTATACGTATCATAAAAGAACTTAATTACGATTTATCTTTGCTTAGATAAAAATAAAAACCATGAATACGTTTCGGGACGCTATGTTAGTCAGTAAACGACTTGAACTATGCGTGGATAGATGTACGATTTCGGGCGCTATAAAGATAATTTTATGTATGGAAATCATTTTTCTCGCTATTGTTACTTACATTACTATTTCATTAACTAAAATTACGAAGTATTTCAAAATAATTTTGGTTCAGATAAACATTAAACCTTCCGGACGCTTTGTCGGTATACGGTGGTTTTTGAGCAAGTGAACTGGAGTCGAAGGTATATTAGTTTTTTTATATAAATAGAAAAAAATGATAAGTAAGATTATTTTTTTCTACCATAAATACCGCAATACATAATAATGTACATTATTTACAATAAATATAACCATTCTGACTGTTTAAATTAACAATAATGCTTCGGGACGCTTCATGACATTTCGGGACGCTAAATTCTTTGGGACGCTTTGTTAGCGCAACATGGGAAACGTCAGTTTTCGCGCTGTAAAATAATATTTTGTGGATGAAATGTTTATTTCCTTTTTAATGTCACTTACACATATCATAAATTAACTTAATTACGATTTATCTTTGCTTAGATAAAAATAAAAACCATGAATACGTTTCGGGACGCTATGTTAGTCAGTAAACGACTTGAACTATGCGTGGATAGATGTACGATTTCGGGCGCTATAAAGATAATTTTATGTATGGAAATCATTTTTCTCGCTATTGTTACTTACATTACTATTTCATTAACTAAAATTACGAAGTATTTCAAAATAATTTTGGTTCAGATAAACATTAAACCTTCCGGACGCTTTGTCGGTATACGGTGGTTTTTGAGCAAGTGAACTGGAGTCGAAGGTATATTAGTTTTTTTATATAAATAGAAAAAAATGATAAGTAAGATTATTTTTTTCTACCACAAATACCTCAATACATAATAATATACATTATTTACAATAAATATAACCCTTCTGACTGTTTAAATTAACAATAATGCTTCGGGACGCTTCAGGACGCTTCGGGACGCTAAATTTCTTCGGGACGCTTTTTAGTGAGACCGGATAAAAGGTAGCAAAATGTAAACAAAGTGGTATTTTTTGTATAAGAACACCATAACACATTGGTACCTTCTTTAAATAAAGATATTATTATTATTATTATTATCATTATTTTTATTATTATTATTATTTTATTTTATGCTTTTCAGTGGATTACTGATTTATCCGTGAAAATTATATTTGGTAATTTCACAGTGAAAATTATCAAAATATAATTTCACTCTTTTTAATGACGAAACTACTTTTTTAAGATTTTCCCCATGTGGTACCTCAATTTTATTTTTGCTGACAATTCTGACAATGTCAGGTTGTTTAAAGAAAAAGCAAAACTGAAAATGATAAATAACTTAAATGTCAAAAGTAATAAAAAGAAGAAAACTCAGGGTTGTCATTTAGAGGCGGCAGGAGGCCAAAATGACTGTCTCAAATGCAGTATGGGCCGCCTCAAAATTTAGAAAACACTCTTTTGTTATGCTTGATAAAAACAGAAATGGCCGCCTCAAGTCCAAAACAAACCTTCTGCGAAAAATGTTTCTGACAACCCTGAAAACTTACTTCTATTCATTCAAATTCATGAAATTCCAATCACCAAATTTCGTTTTTTTGTTTCATTTTGACAGTCTCAAAAATACATTCCTTCCCCATGCAAAACTGCTCTTGATGACATTTGGGCATATTAAAGTATCCTACGAGCAATAACTGCCGTATGCTTTATGAAAAATTGAAAGCATTGACAGCCATAACTCGAAGAATAAGTTAAATCAACCCAGCGTTCTTGTGCAGGTTTCCAAGTTTTCCATTTTCCTAGCTCCTTTTCTGAATGTTTTCACATCTGTCAACACTTTTTTTTGTCTGTTACAATCCTCAAATAAGTTTTCTTTCTTTTAAAAATGTGTATGACTAACAAATCCAAATTATATCCCTCTGAATCTTACACAATTATTTTCCTCCCATGAAATACACAACTTTAAAAAATGGCTGCCGCTTACAATTTACAAAGCCAGGTCTAATATAAATTCGCACTAAGTAACAGAAATATGGATGGATGGTTGGACTTTTTCTCCTACAAGAATTGTTTGTTTTTATTATCAAAACAAGCGATCATTCATATTTTTTTAATAAAATTAATAAATATCACCGTCATTTAATGTTGATTGGCGGACTTATTTTTCAGCTCAAGACTTCTTTTTTTTAATGAGAAATTCCGAATAAATGGGGCTCTCAATGGGGGAAACAGTTTTAATATTATGGACATTTCGTTTAACTTGTTTTTAAGCATAAAATAAAAAGAAAATTTGTTTGTTTGTTGTGTAAGATGTAATTGTATCTCGTGAACTTTAAAATCTCGTGAACTTTAAAAACAGTATTCTTACTCGTGGCTACGCCACTCTCGAGAATACTGTTTCCAAAGCCCACTCGATGAAATAAAATTTCATCTTAAACACAAACAAACAAATATCCTCTATATTATTATTATTATTATTATTATTATTATAAATAAAAAGAGCTATTGAAAAATACAGTGATTGTATTTTAAGCCCCTAATAGGCCTTTACTAATAAATCTTATTACTTAAATAAAACAAGTACTATTCTTAAAATTCTTCTTCGTTTTATTCGTTTCTTATCCCAAAAAAAATGTGTGCATATAGACATGTTCAGTTATGTGGTGTTAACATATTAATAAATACATATACATATAAAATAAATAAATAAATATTGGCCAAAAACATGCATTGTGTAGTATTATTTCGTTATTTCAATTTAAAATATGTAAATAAGTTTCTCATTCATAATTACTCATTCATAATATGTACGTTAACGATAAATAAGTTTCTCATTCAGTTTCTCATTCATAATATGTACGTTATCGACGAAATACAATTTATTAAGTATATTTGTTTACAAAATAGTTCGACGATACTTGATTACTACGTATTTATAAAACGACAAAAGGTAAATCTACTTCCATTTAGAAAGGGCTACTAGTATTCCTGATCTCTAACAATTAATGATTTATAAATTTATAAATGAATAATGAAGAAACAAAAAAAAACACAAAAAAAACCAACAACAACAACAACAAAAACAACAGTGTACTTATAAACCCATATGATGCCCTATATACATGCACGTATTCTTTAAAGAAAATTACAATGTAGTGCTACTTAAAAAACATACGTACATTTTGTTCGATATCGTCAAATCTAACATTTGTGCTGCATTCACCTTTGGAACTTTTCCTTTTGCATGGGGTTCTCTGGGTAGATCCTGATGAGGTCATATTAAAACACCAGCTTTGTTTTATGTCCGTAGAATCTTCATCGTCGGCATAACGCCTTCCTTTACCGATTTGTTTCTCGTTTCCCATTCTGTAAGAAAAAATTAAATAGGGTACCCTATGAAAATTAAAAACAAAGAATTTCATTACAGTTAAAATTAAACTTCATGAACAAAACAATCAATAATTAATTGAAAATATTAGATTTATACTTACTTTACTGCAAAAATATGAAGATTCCGTGGTCTTTTAACGCGGTTGTCGTCAAATCATCGCGTTTGTTTACGTCTGTCGTTGAGGCAGTTTCGACGTCATTTTGAGAACGTTCAAAATTGCGCGGTTAAGTAGAGCGCGTCAGAAACGTCTGCGCGTAGACTGTTTTCCAAGTTAATTTTACGCATGTGACGTCGATTTTAATTTGATAGTCGTGATGTTTCATTAATTTATAATCACGGCTGCTGTAAATCTAGGATTTGCGAAAATAAAGGCTTGTAAATTTGTTAATATATATAGAACTTTGACGTATAAAATGGCCGTGTTTCAATATAATACTTGCCAACATTTATCCACGGGCTATTTAACCCTTTCACATTTCTTTATGACTATTGCTCGGTCGACAGAATTTAAAACCAAAATACAGATAACATATTTCTATTATGAATGAATGAATGAATGAATGAATGAATGAATGAATGAATGAATGATCAGTTTTGATTGGGATTTCGTTCAGTTCGTATACTATCAAACTGCTTGATAAAGATTAATCAGCCACATAGATTTTAACGGACAGTTTTTATTTTAAATACACCACATTTAAATAACCCGTGAGAGCTAGCATTTAGTTTGGCATTTCCGCCAAACTTCGGCTAAGGATTGTTGGTATTCGGCGGAGCGTTCCGGATGGAACCTCTGGACTTCTTTTCTCTGTTGAAATTGTCCTCACCAATTCGCTCACGTCAAGATTGTTCTGATTTTCAAGTATAGGTTAGAGTGCATATTGGGTGTTCTTCGTAAAGAAGAAAGCTAAAAAGGAGCGGAGCTTGCGAAGCGACTGTAGCTTTCTTATTTACGAAGAACAACCAATATAAAATCTGTTCTATTAAGATTTGAAACCTGAAAATTTGAAAAATCCTCGTCGGTGATTGGCTTAAAAAATTGGCGAGCACTAATAAATATAAAGAAATGTAAACAAAGGTGAAAAATAGAATACCAATTAATAAAAAAAACGTAGGGCATTCCAAAATCCAGCAGCTTTGTGCGTGAACACTTTGACAGCAAACTTATTTAAACTACAGATTCGAATTAATCAGCCTACAGTACGCATTTCACATTTTTTTCTTCTATATGTTTGATTATATCATGTGTTTATTTATAAGTGAATTCCACAGTTTATTTTTTTTATCTATTTTGATTACAAGGGAGATCACTCGAGAGTTATTACAAGATGAAAATCGCAGGTTCGGTTTTATGTTTTAACGAGTAGCTGTGTGTGCTTATGAGATAATCAAGCGTATAATAGCATCTATCTCTCTCTCTCTCTCCCCCCCCCCATTACCGCTCCCCCCATCACCTGTTTTTTTATTGTTATTCCATAGGAACTCGAGAACGGGACCGCAGATTGCGGCGTATATTTTCGATCTTGTAACGGTCTTTAAATACGTTTCTGCTACATCTAAATATCTTTTAGTATTATCCGAGTGTATGGACTCAAAAAATATATTATCAATTGAACCCAATCTGTCTCTTTTAAAATTGGTCAAATTTTACGGTATTATTTTCAATATACCGTAAATTTGACTGATTTTAAATTAGCAGATTATGCTAAATTGAGATTAGATAATTAAAGACCACCCGCTCGCATAATATGAAAAGATATTCAAAGGTCGGACAAACTAAATGTAAAGCCGGTACGGATTCGGATTTATGCGCCGCAATATGCGGTCCTGTTCCAGAGTTCCTATGGTTATTCCATCCTCAGAAAGTTTTATAATTGACAAAACCTTGATGACGATTAGATTACTTTATCCGTTTGAAAACTAGTTAAATAGCATCAAAGTGGCACCTATCTGAAGCAATGAACTATTAAAGTCACGTGTTTGTTCGAAGATTGAATTTACAATCTTTATTGTATACAGGGCATCAAAGAGTCCTCCGTGGACTGCAAACCTGTCAATCATCCATGCAGCACGTGAAAATCCTGCCAGGAATTGGTGAGAAAACTATGCACCTTACAATGTAGCCGTGATTGGTTATCCCGCTCAAGCCCGTGGTAATACTCGCCGCGACCTCTTCTAATAATGCTGGAGAAGTCCATTCTATGATGCCTACATTGTAAAACTTCTGCGATTTTCAGTGAGGAACAGAAACAAATATTGTTTATTACCCTTCCAGATTTTTTCCGCCTTTTTGATTGGATATTGATCACCCGAAAGAAATTGATATAACCGAGCCAGACGGGTAATATACACATTAAATTTCCCCGATTGGTACCCCACGTTGGAAACAACATGCGCCGTGCGATGCGCGTACGGTTTGATTTTACGCGATATAAATTCCGATTTATAAGCACTTTTAAACTATCAAATGATAAATATTTACCAAAATAGAGAAATGATACATATTCTCGTCAGTATAGGAAACAAATATGACCTTGTGAAAGCTTAATATTAATTCCAAAAAAGTGCGTTCAACAGACTTCTCCTTTTCTCTTGTTTACATCCGTTATGTTCGAAAGAAAATACGTCATGTATTTATGTGACGTCATGTTATGGTGAAGGGGTATCCTAAAGGGAATCTTATTTCGACGTTTCATTTGAAGTAGCAATGATTTATTTTAAAATCGTCTTAACTCGGCACGGGAAGGGTAATAAAATTATTATTTTGGTTTTGGAGTGATATATGTGGATATATTACCTGCCAAGATAAAATATCACCCTCGCCTAACGGCTCGGGTGATATAAATCTTGACAGGTAATACTGTATATCCACATATATCACTCCAAAACCAAAATAACATATAATATTACCTGTTTAGATTTTATAATACCCGAGCCGTTAGGCGAGGGTGATATTTTATCTTGGCAGGTAATATATCCACATATATCACTCCAAAACCAAAATAATAATTTTATTACCCTTCCCCTGCCGAGTTTAGACGATTTTTTAAAAAGTCATTGCTGTTTCAAATGAAACGTCGAAATAAGATTCCCTTTAGGGAACCTCTTCGTCACAACATGACGTCACATAAATATATGACATATTTTCCCTCGTACCTAACGAATGTAAACAAGAGAAAAGCAGTAGTCTATTGAACGCACTTTTTTGTAATTAATATCAAGCTTTCACAAGGTCATATTTGTTTTCGATACTGATGGTTATGGAACACCGTGACTGTCTTATGTAATCAATGTTTTTGTTATCTTGTGAAACGATGATATTATTTTGTCGTATGAGCATGTTAACATGTGCAGTTTACATCATGTCTTGTCAAAGGAACATGCTTACATGTACAAACAGCATGTTAACTTGTCAAATTATTATGATGACATGTGCAGACAACATGCTAACTTGTCAAAGTATCGTGATGACTTGTGCAAATGACATGGTAACTTGTCAAAGTATAATGATGACTTGTGCAAATGACATGGTAACTTGTCAAAGTATAATGATGACTTGTGCAAATGACATGGTAACTTGTCAAAATGTAATGATGACTTGTGCAAACGACATGTTAACTTGTCGAATTATTGTGATGACATGTGCAAACAGCATGTTAACCTGTCAAATAACCATGATGACTTGTGAAGACAACATGTGAACTTGTCAAAGAATCGTACGGAAGCTTGTATGTACCCCCGCTATGAAGACATGAAGTTGTCTTTATTGACTTGTAGAACACAACAAGTCGTCAAAATTACGACGACAAGTTTATATATACAATGTCATTTTGACAAAATATATGTCATCATGTCGAGATACGGCATCCCGACTTTCATACATAAATATACTTGTCGGCTTGAAGTAACATGTATGTCTGAAATTCTGACGACCCAAACAAATAAAAAAACACTCCATTACAAGGAACAAGTAATATTGTAAACTATAAACAAAAACACGTAAACTGATATCACAAATTTCGTATTTGTATCTAAAATGGTGCATGTGTAAACTTTTACTTTTATTTGAGCAAACTTGGTAGACACTCACTAGAGGATGTTTACACTAAATATCTAAGCTTTAGCTCTTTATGTTTTTTAAAGAAAGATTTTTAAGTTTTCACTATACACAAAGAAAATCAATGACCCGCTGGGGCGGGACCAATTTTGACACTATGGCTTTTATTTGAACAAACTTGGTAGGCACTCACTAGAAAATGTTTCATGCTAAACATCTAAGTATTAGCTCTTTGGATTTATATAAGATTTTGTTTGTCTTTACTATTTACATATAAGGAAAATCAATGACCCTCCCCGGGCAGTGAAAATTTTGACCCCAGTGCTTTTATTTGAACAAACTTGGTAGACACCCCCTAGAAGATGTTTCATGCTATATATCTAACCTCTAGTTCTTTGAGTTTTTAAAAGAGGATTTTTTAAGTTTTACCAAATACATATAAGGAAAATCAATGACCCCCTGGGCGAGCTAATTTTGACCACAGGGATTTTATTTGAACAAACTTAGAAGATTTTTCATGCAAAATATTAAGCTCCAACTCTCTGTTTTTTTCAACAGAAGATTTAAAAAAAAAAATTCCTTTCTGTTGCCATTGCAACCAGAGTTCAGCAAATTAAAGTCTTTGAACAAATTTCAATGGTGACCACCAAAGGAACATTCCTGTGAGGTTTGGATGAAATTGACTTAGTGGTTTGTTCAAGTACAGCTGAACCCTGGACGAATGGTGGACGAAAAGCGATCACAAAAGCTCACTGTGTCACTGTGTGACAAATGAGGTAAAAAGGCAGGATTCCAACACACAGAGAGGAAGGCAAGTGCTTTGTACCCAGCGATCCTAACAACTTGGCCACAAAGGAAGATCCTTTAGTATTTTTAATGCACAGGTGGAAATGAAACACCAAAACAAATTAAAATATTGCATTTTTTCTCATTTTTATATTCTTGCCAATTACACATGTATCAAGCATGTGTCAGCTGACCATATTTGGTAAACGTATACATATCATTAAGGTGAATAAGATATTCCCTATATATCATAATAAGAAAGTCTATCCAACACAGACTGCCATAACTGTACCCTTTAAGGTAGTCTTACCGCCAAAAAATTCTAACATCGGCCAAATTCGTAATAAACCGGTAATTTCTGGAACATTATTTTTCACAATCTTCCAGTATTCAATAAT